AATCGAACCCAGGGCCTCATGCATGCAAGGCAAGCGCTCTACCACTGAGCCACCTTCCCAGCCCTACAATCAAATCTTAAACATATGTTGTAATTTTTCATTTGTTTGTTTTATGTTACTGACAATTGAACCCACAGTTTTTCACCTGCAGCATAAAAGCTTAATATTGCTGGGCAGTAGTGGCTTACTCCTGTAATCCTAGCTACTCAGGAGGCTGAATTCTGAGGATCATTATTCAAATCCAGCCTTAGCAGGAAAGCCCATGAGACTCTTTATCTTCAATAAATTCCAAAAAAGTAAAGCCAAAAGTGGAGCTGTGGCTCAGGTGGTAGAGCAGTAGCGTTGAGCACAAAATCTCATGGAGTGCACTCATGTCATGAGTTCAAAAATAAGAACAAATTAAAAAAAAACTTAGTTAAAAAAATTTACATGTTCTGTTTTTCTTAGAAAAATGTCACTTATATGAAACTTTGAGCCAGGCGCCGGTGGCTCATACCTGTAATCCTAGCTACTCAAGAGGCTGAGATCTGAGGATTGCAATTCAAAGCCAGCCAGGGCAAGAAAGTCCATGACACCTTATCTCCAATTAACCACCAGAAAATCAGAAGTGGTGCTGTGACTCAAGTGGTAGAGCACTAGCCTTGAGCTGAAGAGCTGAGGGACAGCACCAGGCCCAGAGTTCAAGACCCACAACCAACAAAAACTAAAACCAACTTTGTCTACTTCTTTACATGTACTATTCAAGTTTGAGAATTTTAATTTTACTTACCATGTATCCAGTATGATAACTAAATAGTTCATATAATAGTTCATATAATGAAATTACTAAGATTTAATTGACTTTTTGAGTGTTCTTTATTATTTCTCAGGAGCAATACCTCATTTTTCCTATAATAACTCACTTTTTTCTTTATTTTTTAACACTCATCTCACATTTAACACTGAGTAGACAGTTTATAGTATCAGCAATATGATTCATGATCTGATAAACTTCAGTTCTTGTCAGATCTCCCTATAATAGGTATTTCTATGATAATTACACTTCCCCTTCCTAATATTAATTGTAAAAGTTAAGATGTTAATTTAAAGACACCATGAAAATCCCAGAACAAACACATTGCTCTGTATAGTATAGTATATGTATGTATGTATTTATATATTTATGGTAGTGCTGTTGTGAGGCACCCTCAACACCTTTCTGCTCAACACAACCTCCTTTGGGCAAAGCAACAACCTGGTAAGCAGGTTTAGTGGGAACATTACTTGATAGGGTTTATTGGGCAGCCCCAAAGTCATTGGTGTCAGCCAGCAAGACAGTTGTTTTTACTACCTTAATCAACTCACACCCTGCAACTTTCAGCATTTCACCTGTTAGAGCTCATTTAATTTTTTTCTGTGCCTCCTGGCACAGCTGTCCACTTGAATGGTCCAACTCTATGTCCTGAAATGTAAATAGTCCTGTCTATTAATGAAGCTCAGCTGTAGGAACTGTTGGCCCCCGGAGTTTTCGGGGGGGGGGTCCAGTCGTAGGGCCTGAACTCTGGGCCTGGGCACTGTCCCTCAGCTCTTCAGCTCAAGGCTAGCGCTCTACCACTTGAGTCACAGCGCTACTTCCGGCTTTTTTCTTTTTGCTTATGTGGTGCTGAGGAATCGAACCCAGGGCCTCAGGCATGCAAGGCAAACGCTCTACCACTGAGCCACCTTCCCAGCCCCAGGAGTTTTCATGGAGCTAATCTTTCTGATCTGATCTGATGTGGCTAATCTTTCTTTCTCAAAGCCCCTTCTTAAGAAGAAACCCTTGAGGCTGGGAAGGTAGCTCAGTGGTAGAGTGCTTACCTTGCATGCATGAGGCCTTGGGTTCGATTCCTCAGCACCACATGAGCAGAAAAAGCCAGAAGTGGTGCTGTGGCTCAAGTGATAGCACGCTAGCCTTGAGCTGAAGAGCTGAGGGACAGCGCCCACACCCAGAGTTCAGGCCCATGACCGGATCCAAAAAAAAAAAAAGGAGAAGAAACTCTTATACACCAACCTGACTTGACCCCACTGAATCTCAAAACTTACTGCTTTCTGACTCTTCCTGCTAGAGGGGGACAAGAACATTGTTGGGGGCACGAGTTGACACGGTGTGTGCTCTGGAAAGCAGTATGGAGGTTCCTCAAAAAACTAAACATAGAACTAACCTCTGACTCAGCAATTCCACTTCTGGGTATTTATCCAATGGAACACAAACAAACAAGTAAATCCACCATCCATCCATTCAGTGGATGAATGGGTCAAGAGAATATGGTATATATAAACAATGGAATTCTACTTAATCCCTCAGAAAGAATGATAGTGTACCATTTGTAAGGCAATGGAAAGAGGTGGAAAATATTATATTTAGTGAAGTAAGTTAGATTCAGAGAAACACAGGTTGCATGGTTTCCCTTATTTGTGGTAGCTAGAATGTGCCTATAAATCTATAAGTAAACATGCTGAGTGGTATGCAAGTAGATACAAGTGAATTAACTTTATGAAGAGCTCAAATAGTATCTTCAGAAAGATTAACTCAAAGCCCAACCAAATAAGTACTAGCAAATGGGCTGCAAGGGGGAAGGGAAGAAAAGAAGGGTAGAAGAATGAAGGGGGAAAATGGGAGAAAGACAAGAATTGAGAAAAATAAGAGAAGGGGTAGCCGAAGAGGGTGAAGATATTGAAGGGTGACACAGATCAAGATGTGTTGTATATATAAACTCTTTGTTAAATGACAAAAATCTTCAATATCCTAAATATTAAGAAAAGTGAGTGAAGGGGAGGGTTGGGTGAGAATGTTGAAAGGGGTGACATTCATCAAGATGCACTGTATTCATAAACTGCTTTGTTGAATGGCAACTCTTTTGTACAACAACCTAGAAATAATAAAAATATTTTTAAGAAAAAAAAAAAAAAACAAACTTACTGCTTTCTTCATTTGCTTTGAAGTTCTAGGGATTGACCCTAAGGCCTTCTGCATGTAAGACAGCCACTAACCATACCTCTGAGCTACACTGCCAGTCCTTCCCTCCTTTTAGTACGAGATGAAATAGGGAGGTATGGAAAAGAGAGAAATACTTCCTGACTCCATGCAAGAAATGGTAGAAGAGCTTTCAGTTACTGGCTTGTATATTTATTTGTTTTTGTTTTGTTTTGTTTTTGGGTCCGGTCATGGGGCCTGAACTCTGGGCCTGGGTGCTGTCCCTCAGCTCTTCAGCTCAAGGTTAGCGCTCTACCACTTGAGCCACAGCGCCACTTCCAGCTTTTTTCTTTTTGCTTATGTGGTGCTGAGGAATTGAACCCAGGGCCTCAGGCATGCAAGGCAAGCGCTCTACCACTGAGCCACCTTCCCAGCCCTGGCTTGTATATTTATGTAGTTAACTTTACCATTGTTCTTTCTTTTTATGGCTTCAAGTTACTTCTGTCTCATGAACAACCCTCTAGAACTTTTTTAAAGCAAACCTACTTCAGTGAACTTCTTGAGTTTTTATCTGAAATTGTATTATTTCTCCTTCATTCCTAAAGGATAGCTTTGCCAGCTCCAGTTCTTGGTTAACAGTGTTTTTCATTCATGGTTTTTAGCTTGTCATCTCAACTCGTTTCTTGTCTCCATGGCTTCTGATGAAAATCAGCTGTTAAGCTAATTGAGAAACTTATTTCCTGTAATTATTTTGTCTGGCTTTCCTTAGTTCATTGATCACATTTGGATAGTTGATTTATCCTCATTTTTTGTTTGTTACTCAGTGGACTTTTATTTCTTTGCATTTGCCTGTAGGAATAATGTGTTTGGCAATTAGTCTCATTGTCTCAGCTTCCTCAGTACTGGTTTCTGTCCAATTCTTATCTCCTTCTATGAATGAACCATATTTATCTACTTCATATTTTTTGTAATTGTTTTTGAGAGTTGGACATTCTTTTTTTTTTTTTTTTTGTCGGTCGTGGGGCTTGAACTCTGGGCCTGGGCGTTGTCCCTCAGCTCTTCAACTTAAGGCGACCGCTCTACCACTTGAGCTACAGCGCCACTTAAGAGTTGGACATTCTTAAGTATTTATTTTTATTGTAGAGGGCAGGAGTTTCTTGTTTGCTTTTCTAGACTATTTTTAGAGCATGCATGTTATTTACATGTGGTCACTGACATTTCTATTTCATTGCCACTTGTGTTTCATGAGTTTAATGAAAGATTTCTTTGAATTAATAGCTTCAAAAAGAAAGAAGATTGTGGCTAAACCTTTTAATAGATTCTGCTGTCACGTGCCACTGCTGCCAACAGGATCAAAACTAAGGCAAGCCTTGTGACAGGACCTTGGACAAACCACAACACATAATCCCCACTCACTGCCCTGGGCCAGTTAACAGTTGCAGGAATTTGGGCTGCTGTTTTCAACTGTAGTGTGACTGAAGAATTGCTTGTACACCTTTCTCTTTCCCTTCCCTACGTCAGTAGCATACGTTATTTGTATAAAGGGAAAGAATTTCATTGTGACATTTCTACACATGTATGCAATGTATCCCAATCAACTTCATCTTATTCTCTGTGCAGCTTTATTTCTTAACCATTCTACCCTAGCAGCTCTTATTTTGTAGCAATTAAGGACATATAAAAGAATATGACATGTTAAAGATGTGCTAATCATGTGTATTTGGATTTCAACTCTCTGGTCTGACTTTGGGCAAATTGCTGAACCTCTTATATGATGAAATAGGTTAGATAATATGTTAAAAAGTATTAAAACTGGAATTACCAATGTTATACTGGTATTAGTTGGTATCCTATTTTATTGTTAGTTGTTAAGTATGTATTACATACACATTCCTTTCAACAGGTCTGTAAAATTAGTTTCAAAATTTGAAAGGTATTAATGGTTTTCCTGAAGTATAATTAGACATCAAACCCAGAGCTGACTCAGGCTGCCATTAACAGCCCTTTTTTCACTTTCCCTTTTATCTGAGTTCAAAGTATCTAATTTCAAAGTTTTGTTTTTCTTCAGGAGTCACATGCAATAGGCAAAAAGCCTGAAAATCCAGCAGACCTGATTGAAGAAGGAGAGCTTATCCTATCTGTGAATATCTTGTATCCTATTATATTTCAAAAGGTCAGTAGTAAAACCTTTTGGGTTTTATGGAAAATATGAGTAACTCTCCTTACCCTTTTCCTTTTTTTTGTCAGTTGTGGGGCTTGAACTCTGGGCTTGGGCGCTGTCCCTGTGCTCTTCTGCTCAAGGTGAGCCCTCTACCACTTGAGCCACAGCACCACTTCTGGTTTTCTAGTGGTTTATTGGAGATAAGAGTCTCATGGACTTTCCTGCCTGGGCTAGTTTTGAACCGCGATCCTCAGATCTCAGCCTCCTGAGTAGCTAGGATTATAGGCATGAGCCACCTGTGCCTAGCTCCTTCCTTTTCTTGTTGCGTATTGAACCCAAGGTTTCAGGCATGCTGGACAAACCCTTTACCACTGAGCTATATCTTTAAGCCTTATTATTTTTGACATAGGACAATCATTTGAAGAGTTATTTGAACCTCAGGGTTCAAAATAAATGCAAGTATATTCTGTCTGACATTTTTAGAGCTGACAATCCTTATTATTGGGGACTTTGTCTTTATTTATTTATTTATTTTTGTTTCATCCTGGGGCTTGAACTTGAGGTCTGAGTGCTGTCCTTAAGCTCTTTTATTCATTTTCTGGTGATTAATTGTAGAGAATAGTCTCAAAGGCTTTCCTGCTGGGTCTGGCTTTGATCCGCAATCCTCAGATCTCAGCTTCCTAAGTAGCTAGGATTGTAGGCATGAGCCACAGCGCCTGGCATGTTCTGGATTTTCTGGTGATTGATGTAGAGACTAGCATGATGGCTCATACTGCATATAAATATATATTTTTAGCTGTTCCAGTGGTGCTACTAGCACCCAGCTGGTACTTTGTTTTAAGACTTTTTTTTTTGTGGTCGTGGGCCTTGACCTCTGGGCCTGGGCACTGTCCCTCAGCTCTTCAGCTCAAGACTAGCACTCTACCACTTAAGCCTCAGCGCCACTTCCGGCTTTTTTCTTTTTGCTTATATGGTGCTGAGGAATCGAACCCAGGGCTTCAGGCATGCAAGGCAAGTGCTCTACCTCTGAGCCACCTTCCCAGCCCTACTTTGTTTTAATAAGGTATTTCTTTCTGATACCAAAAGAAAGTGAAATGTCAAGCAGTCTTTTAGTCCAATAGAATTACAGGCCTGTTATTGAAATGGATAACTGATTTCTGCATTAAAGTATATATAAACACCAGTGATTCTAATGTTATGAATTCTTGAAGATTTTTGCAGCACAGATGGCTGGTAGAGGAATAAACCTTGTTCACCAATTCAGAATAATTGGGAAATTATGGAATTAACTAAAAACAACTCTTTGGTGAAGATACATAGAATTAACGAAGAATTTCTTAGGAGGCTCAAAGCATTTCCTTCTCCCTCCCCCAAGTGCTGAGTATGTAAACCAGGCTTGCACATGCATAAGAGTGTATGTATCCTAAACTCTGATGAGGTCTAATTGAAGTATTTGTATACAGAGATTGTATTTACAAAAAAGTATTGACGAAGCATCTAGAATTATTTTGTTTGAGATCTCAATAAAACATGAATAACAATTAACCTTTTGGTTTCATAACCTGAAGATAAAGTATGGATTGCCTGACTTCATTGGTGTAAATTCCAGGAAAATTTAGACGACAGTAATGCTAGGTAAAGTTAAAGGCTAAAGGCTCATAATCTTAATGTTACTAAGTAGTTTATTGATTATAAATTTCAACTTAAACTAGAGAAGTTCTGTTGGCAAATAATTATGGGATTGAATTTAATCTATAGAGATAATTGTGTGACGATACAGATTAATGCTATAAAATGGAAGACTATTACTAATATTTCCTTTGTAAGAAGAGATGGCATGCTGTACCACATAAGGCCACTGGGTGAGCACCAGTCTTGGTGCTATGGTAGAAAGCAGAGGAAAAGTCATAGACCACAACTTTTATGGGGTTTTCTATAGGAACATCGAGGAAGAACATGGTAAACAATTTTGGACTGGTTTAAATATTCCATTGGGCTTTGGAGCAACAAGTTTGATTTCTGTTATCTAGCCCCTGGTTCACTTAGGTTGATTGGGCACCTAGGGCAATATTAGCTTTATGAGTAAAAGTTAAAGAAAGTGGTTTCAGATCTGGAATGCAAATAATTTATAAATAGCTTTTTTTCTTTTTCCTCTGTGCTAGGGATTATACCCAGAGCTTTATGCATGGTAGGCAAAGTCTTAACCACTAAGATACACCTTCAGCTTTACAACGTTCTTAGTTTGGTCTTGTAATTAATAGATGTGAAATAGAGAAATCAGAATCTAAAAGAAAAAATTAACAACTAAATACAGCATAACAATTCATGAAGACAATTTGTTTTGTTTTGCAGTGCTGGGGATCAAACCCCAAGGCCTCATATGTGCTAGGCAACTGTTCTACCACTGGGCTACAACCCCAGCCCAAGGGGACAATTTAAATTACGAAGGCCAGTAACTTTGTTTAGATCTAGTCTTGACAGGATTTATGGTTTAGCTGCTTTGTTGGTAAATGGGCACTTACTTATTGTTTGACTTTCAGCATAAAGAACATAAGCCATTCCAGACGATGCTGGTTTTGGGCAGTCAAAAGCTCACAGAACTGAGAGACTCAATTTGCTGTGTCAGTGACCTGCAGATTGGTGGAGAATTCAGCAACACTCCTGACCAAGCTCCTGAGCATATTAGCAAAGTAAGGTGATTCCCCACCCCCATAAAAGGAGTAATAATAATAAGCTATGGAAATAGTTTCTACTCTAGCAGGTTCATCAGTGTTCTAATAAACGCTTCTCATTATATTCTATCAAATTGCAGTTGTATCTCTTTCCTTCCTTTCATCTCATTTATTTCTCAACAGTTTTATGGACATATCTGGACAGTTGGTCTCTTTGATTGTCATACAACCTATCCTCATTGTAGCTTTTGCCTTGTCCTCTATTCCCCATTCTTTCCCTGTTCCCTTCCCTTCCCTGTTCCCTTCCCTTCCCTTCCCTTCCCCCTTCCCTTCCCTTCCCTTCCCTGTTCCCTCCCCTCCCCCCTCCCCTCCCCTCTCCTCCCCTCCCCTCCCCTCCCCTCCCCTCTTCCCTTCCCTTCCCTCTTCCCTTCCCTTCCCTCTTCCCTTCCCTTCCCTCTTCTCTTCCCTTCTCTTCTCTCTTCCCTTCCCTTCCCTTCTCTCTTCCCTGTTCCCTTCCCTGTTCCCTCCCCTCCCCTCCCCTCCCTCCCCTCCCCTCCTTCTAACCCATTTTTTCTGCTAGAGCTTTGTGTTCAAGGTATGTCCCTAGCCTTACTGTCACATTTAACTTTACCGTTTGTTTATCCTGTTTCAAAATCTGTCTCCAGCAATAAGTAGGAGTCTACATTTGTCTCATTAGCACTCCTTCACCTTTCCATGTGCAACAGAAAATCTTTGGGGCACTCCTTTGAAAGGAACAAAGTGGTAGGTCGACTGCCTTTTTCAAGTGATTGCTTACCTAAGCAAGCCCAAGGTCTTGACCCTTCCAAATTTCAGCACAGGGCAAAATTAACTGGCTATATTGCCTGGTACAACCTTGGGAGAGGACTCCAGATTTATCAATCCACTTATGAAGAGAGCAATTTCTACTAAAGATATTTGAAAGATACTTAAAGGATGAAGATAGAACTTGGACAAGAACCAGTACTATTTCCTTTTTTACTAGTTCCTTTATAATTCCACCTAAACGTTAGCTATACTGTTTCTTCTTAGTCTGACACATAATGGTGATTCCCAAGTTAATGTTCCATACTACTTGCTCCCTCTGCTTTAGCCACAGTGAATTTGTGTATCTTCATGTGGTCTATACCCTTGTACCTGAGTATTCAGGTAGGAAACCTTTTCCCTTCCTCTTTGCATCTTAGAAGTTGGTATTCACATTTCCAAACCCAGCTTAAGATAACATTTTTTCTTAAGTTTTTATGTGTCCGGTACCTTTACATGTGTCCATCATAGTACAGTTGCATTGTGTCAGTGCTATTTGATGTGCATCTGTTGGTTGTGTTCCAGACTTTTTTTTCTTTGTCAGTTGTGGGGCTTGAACTCTGAGCCTGGGCACTGTCCTTGAGATCTTTTGCTCAAGACTATGCCACTTTGAGTGACAGAGCCACTTTTCATTTTCTGGTGATTAATTGGAGAGAATAGTATCAAAGGCTTTCCTGCCTGGTCTGGCTTTGATCCCCGTCCTCAGATCTCAGCCTCCTGAGATTGTAGGCGTGAGCCACAGCAACTGGCATGTTATGGATTTTTTAGAGACTGATGTAGAGATTAGCATAAAAATATTTTTTTTAGTCAGGTGCTGGTGGCTCACATCTAATCCTACCTATTCAAGAAACTGAGATCTGAGGACCGTAGTTCAAAGCCAGCCTAGGCAGGAAAGTATGTGAGACTCTTCAATTAATCACCAGGAAATCGAAAGTGGCACTGTAGCTCAAGTGGTAGAGTACTCGCCTTATTCTGAAATGCTCTTATTCTGAAATGCTCAGGGAGAGTGCCCAGGCCCAGAGCTCAAGTCCCATGATGGGAGTGTGTGTGTGTGTGGGGGGGGGGGGCCCAGAGCTCAAGTCCCATGATGGATATGTGTGTGTGTGTGTGTGTGTGTGTGTGTGTCTGTGTGTCTGTGTGTCTGTGTGTCTGTGTATCTGTCCTAGGGCTTGAACTCAGGCCCTTAGTTTGTTGCTCGAGGCGAGTGCTCTACCACAAGCCATAACTTCACTTCTAGCTTTATGATGGTTAATGAAGATAAGAGTCTCACAGACTCTTTGGTCTGGCTTTTAACAGTGATATTTAGATTTTAGCCCCTGAGTAGCTAGGATTACAGGCTACAGGCATGAGCCACTGGCTCCTAGCTTAAATATTGAGTTTTGTTGTTGTTATTGTTTTGTTTTTTGTTTTTGCGGTCCTGGGGTTTGAACTCAAACTGTCCCTGAACTTCTTTTGCTCAAGGCTAGTTAGCACTCTACCACTTGAGCCACAGCAACACTTCTGGCCTTTTCTATTTATGTGGTACTGAGGAATTGAACCCAGGGCTTCATGCATACTAGGCAGACACTCTACCACTAAGCCACATTCCCAGTCGTGAAAATGGTTTTAAGATAGGTTTTCAAAGTTGTTATCTCAGTGCTTTTGGAGGAGAAAAGGAAACAAGTGGAATTTTAAAACTGCTTAAACCAGGAAATAGAGATTTGTCTTTTTCTTCAAAAGAGAAGAAAGTTTCGAAAGTTTCTTAATCACTACCAAAAAAAAAAAAAATAGAGGTATAATTATAAAATAGTAAAGTGCCTGGATTCACCCTTTTTATTGCACACATGTCATTGTTAGAGAAGTTTGAGTTCAATCTGGGAATCACTCTTACCTTCAGGAAATCTTGGAGACTCTTCTTGATTGGGCTTGATTAGTGCTAGTACTTCAGTGTTAATACCTTCAGTTTTCTAAGCAGGAGCTACACGACCCATAGTCCTACTTAAAAAATATTAACATTTACTGTTAGGTTCTCCCTCTTCCATTTACTAAAAATAATAATCTCACTATTAAATAAATACCTACATATGCTAAATATATGATATTAGAAAGAATTAATAAGGTGCTGGAGTTGTGACTATTACATAAAAGTACTTGCATAGAATTTTTTTTTGGGGGGGGGGTTAGGTCGTGGGGCCTGAACTCTGGGCCTGGGCGCTGTCCCTCAGCTCTTCAGCTCAAGGCTTGCGCTCTACCACTTGAGCCACATTGCCACTTCCGGCTTTTTTTCCTTTTTGCTTATGTGGTGCTGAGGAATCGAACCCAGGGCCTCATGCATGCAGGGCAAGTGCTTTACCACCGAGCCACCTTCCCAGCCCCTTGCATAGAATTTTACAGGTAAAAAAAGATAGTTCAGAGAACTTTTCTGTCAGTTGCCCAGTAAGCGGTGAGAGGCTGGATTCACATCTGTCATTTCCCCTTCGGAGCCCCACATTTCCTCTTTGCCCAGTTGGTGGCATTATATGGCTTCTTATGTCTCTCCCCTACCCTTTTGTTTACTTGGTGCATAGGCATTGAGTGACACCTTGCAAGACCTTCTAACATGGACTTTATCCAGCTGTTACGTTCAGAGACCTGTTTACTTCTTGTACTCCAACTGTTTTAACACTAATGAGATTTTGCTGTTGATAACATCATGTTGAGCCTTAAAAGATTTTATTTTACTGATTGGCATTTGTATTGTATAGTGAGTATTTTTTCCTTTTTGGTGTCTGTTGGAAAATTTCAAACCTCTACGCAAGAGTAGTGTAATACAGCCATGTGTATGCATTGCCCATCATCAGCTGTTCTCAGCATTTTGCCAAATGCCATGTATTATGCCGTGCCATTGTTATACCAAGGGAAATATTAAAAAGTCCTTGATGTCATTGATGTGGATAAGTTTGACATGTATTCCACTGGCAATCATGGAACAATAATAGTCTAGTCTAACCAGTAAGCCAGACAAATGATTATCAGTCTATCTCTGTCATTTATCATCTATCCATCTATTTTTTTTTTTTTTTTTTTTGTCGGTTGTAGGGCTTGAACTCTGGGCCTGGGCGTTGTCCCTCAGCTCTTCAGCTCAAGGCGAGTGCTCTACCACTTGAGCTACAGCGCCACTTCCGGTTTTCTGGTGGTTTATTGGAGATAGGAGTCTCACGGTCTCTCCTGCCCGGGCTGGCTTTGAACCGCGATCCTCAGATCTCAGGCCTCCTGAGTAGCTAGGATTACAGGCATGAGCTACCAGCGCCGGCTCTCGATTTTACTTTATTCTTTCAGTTAATTTTCCATATTAAACATAACAAGTAACTTCTATGTTGATTGGTGTTTCTTCCTCTCTTGGAATTTGATCAGCTCAACTAGTTGAGATTCTGACACAGTAGGGAAACTAGTTAGTGACTGTCTCTGGTTGACATTGGAAATTAAAATTCATTGTGAGTGATAGTACTCACATTCTCTGCTACAAGGAAATAAGGAAAGATTAGTAATGGACGACATTTAGATGGAAACCATTTTTTGTTTTGTTTGTTTTTTTGCTGGTTGTGGGGCCTGATCTCTGGGCCTGGGCGCTGTCCCTCAGCACTTCAGCTCAAGGCTAGCGCTCTACCACTTGAGCCTCTTCCGGCTTTTTTTGCTTATGTGGTGCTTAGGAATTGAACCTAGGGCCTTATGCATGCAAGGCAAGCACTCTACCACTGAGCCACCTTCCCAGCCCTGGAAACCATTTTTGTTCTTTGAGAATTTACCTTGCAATTGCTAAATATGTTTAAAAATTTTTTGTTATTTAAGCTGCTTAAGATGAAGTTCTAGACAAACATCTTTTTTTTTGGGGGGGGGAGGGGGGTCTGGTCGTGGGGCCTGAACTCTGGGCCTGGGCGCTGTCCCTCAGTTCTTCAGCTCAAGGCTAGCGCTCTACCACTTGAGCCACAGCGCCACTTCTGGCTTTTTTCTTTTTGCTTATGTGGTGCTGAGGAATCGAACCCAGGGCCTCTGGCATGCAAGGCAAGCGCTCTACCACTGAGCCACCTTCCCAGCCCCTAGACAAACATTTTATAATAAGCAAAATATTTTCCTTCCAAAATAAGGCAATAGTTATTCTTTTAGAACTTTTATTTTAGATTATATCTTACTGTGTTAGGGGTTTAGAAGTTAAGTGATAAATTATACCCACACATGGCATTAAGTATATCTTTTATTATCTCTTTAACAATCGACAAGGAATATAATGGTTTTATTCATTGAAAATTAAGAGTTACATCTTTAGTGAAGTCTGGTTGAATGAAAGAATCTGAGAGTTCAACCCACTGTGATTATTACTATGATACATTAGGCAAGATTTATTGCTTCAATAGAAATAGAAAATCATGGGCTGGGAAGGTGGCTCAGAGGTAGAGCGCTTGCCTTGCATGCATGAGGCCCTGGGTTCCATTACTCAGCACCACATAAGCAAAAAGAAAAAAGCCAGAAGTGGCGCTGTGGCTCAAGTGGTAGAGTGCTAGCCTTGAGCTGAAGAGCTGAGGGACAGCGCCCAGGCCCAGAGTTCAGGCCCCACAACCGGACCCCAAAAAAATAGAAATTCATATTCCACCTACCAGTGAGTTATGGAAAATTTAGAGAATTTTTAAAATATACATTGAAAATACAAAAAAGGCTAAAAAAACATAACTCAGTGATCTTTGTTATTACTGGGGAAATAAAAAAGATGTAACTATTTAGTTTTTTTAATTGTAGTATCCAAAATAACTGTACTATTTGCATATATATATATATATATATATATATATATATGTAAATGTATGTTGTCTGTCTTGTGTCAGTCATGGAACTTGAACTCAAGGTTTGAGTCTTTAGCTTCTTCACTCTGGCTACTGCAATGAGAGTCTCATGACTTTCTTGCCCGAGCTGACTTCAAACTGCAATCCTCTGCTCTCAGCCTTCTGAGTAACTAGGATTATAGTAGCAACGGGTGCCCAGTTTGCATATAATTTTATTGAAGTTATTTAATTTCTAATTGGGTTACATGAATCTCAGGAAAATACATATATTTAAATCACTCTTAGTGATTGAAATAGTAATAGGATAAGAATGAAAAGAGCCCCAAAAATTATGTCTGAGACAAAATAGTGGGTGAGTCCTACTAAATTTCAAATAAGTTTATGACTTGAACATATTCTATGAAGATCAACAAAGTTATTGTAACATAGTAGAGTGATTTTATGATATATAAATTTTGCAAGATTATTTGAACATTTTGATAATTTTCAGGAGTAGGCTTTCTTTTAATACCATCTGTTTTCTTTTAGGACCTATATAAATCAGCCTTCTTTTATTTTGAAGGGACATTTTACAATGATAAAAGATACCCGGAATGCAGAGATTTGAGCAGGTATAGTTTTCCAAAATTTTCCCTATTTGTAATTCTCAAATTAGTGATAGCTCCATAAATCCTATTGTTGAACTTTTGAGGATCTTTGTTGAGAAATTACTTATAAATTTTGTATTGAACTTGAAAATTGTATTGAACATGGTACATTGAACATTACATCTAAAAAAGTAGATGCCACTGAGGCATTTTATTAACCTTTATTTAGTTGATAGCATTTTAATCTTTGGTTATTTAGTTGATAGTACTTTCTTGCTTGTCCTGTGTATGCTACTGCTTGCCCTGGGTGACTAGAGATCTATTTGTATCCATGTAAGGATATATAATATGTATATTATGTATAATATGTATATTATAACATTTCTTTTTTCTTTTTTGTCAGTTGTAGGGCTTGAACTCTGGGCCTGGGTGCTATCCTTGAGCTCTTCAGCTCAAGGCTAGTGCTGTACCACTTGAGCTACAGTACCACTTTCCATTTTTCCTGAGTGGTTTATTGGAGATAAGAATCTCAGGACTGCCTGTTGCTGGTGGCTCATGCCTGTAATCCTAGCTACTCTGGAGGCTGATATATGAGGATCACGTTCAATGCCATCCCAGGCACAAAAGTCCTTGAGACTCTAATCTCCAATAAGCCACTCAGAAAACCGGAAGTGGCACTGTGGCTCAAGTGATAGAGTGCTAACTTTGAGCTGAAGAGCTGAGGGACAGTGCCCAGGCCCAGAGTTCAAGCCCCACGACCTACAAAAAAAAAAAAAATCTCAGGGCTTTCTTGCCTAAGCTGGCTTTGAACCTTGATCCTCAGATCTCAGTCTCCTGAGTAGCTAGGATTACCGCATGAGCCACCATTACCAGGCTGATGACATTTCTTTGGTACACAAATACTAGAATCCAGGGCTGGGTAGGTGGCTCAGTGGTACAGTGCCTGAGGCCCTGGGTTCGATTCCTTAGCACCACATAAGCAAAAAGAATAAAAGCCGGAAGTGGCGTTGTGGCTCAAGTGGTAGAGCGCTAGCCTTGAGCTGAAGAGCTTAGGGACAGGGCCCAGGCCCAGAGTTCAGGACCCACAACCGGACCCAAAAAAACAAACAAAAAAAACAAATACTAGAATCCTTGTTAATATCTTTTTTTGTGTGTTAGTCTTGGGGCTTTAACTCAGGGTCTGGGTTTTATCCCTGAGCTTTTATGCTCAAAGCCTAATGCTCTACTACTTGAGCCATAGTTCCACTTCTGGCTTTTTGCTGATTAATTGTAGATAAGTGTCTCATGGACTTTCCTGTTTGGGCTGGCTTTGAGCCACGATCATCAGATCTCAACCTTCTGAGTAACTAGGAATACAGGTTTGAGCCACTGGTGCTTAGCTGTTAATATCTTTTCATTTGTGCCAGTACTGAGGCTTGAACTCAGGAGACTGCAATCTTGCTTATTAGCTTTTTCACTCAAAGCTGGTGCTCTACTTGATTCACATCTTCCAGCTTTTTGCTGGTTGATTGAAGATGAGAGTTACTTTGTCTGCTTGGACTTGCTTCTAACCTCAATCCTCAGATTACAGACTCCTGAGTAGTTAGGATAACTGGCAAGAGCCATTGGCACCCAGCCTAGTATCTTTGTTGTTGTTGTTGTTGTTGTTCGTGGGGCTTGAACTCTGGGCCTGGGCCCTGTCCTTCAGCTCTTCAGCTCAAGGCTAGTGCTCTACCACTTGAGCCATAGCACCACTTCTGGTTTTCTGGTGGTTTTTGGAGATAAGAGTTTCATGGAGTTTCCTGCCCAGGCTGGCTTTGAACCGGCTTTGAACCGCAATCCTCAGATCTCAGCCTCCTGAGTAGCTAGGATTACAGGCGTGAGCCTCCGGAGCCCAGTTTCTATTATGATTTTATTTATTTATTTATTTATTTTTTTGTCGGTCGTGGGGCTTGAACTCTGGGCCTGGGCACTATCTCTCAGCCCTTCAGCTCAAGGCGAGCGCTCTACCACTTGAGCTACAGCGCCACTTCCGGTTTTCTGGTGGTTTATTGGAGATAGGAGTCTCACGGTCTCACGGTCTCTCGGTCTCTCCTGCCCAGGCTGGCTTTGAACCTCGATCCTCAGATCTCAGCCTCCTGAGTAGCTAGGATTACAGGCGTGAGCCACCAGCGCCTGGCTTTTTCTATTATCATTTTAATGAGACCATTTTTATTACTAATGGCCTAGCCCCATTATTAATGTTTATGTATAAACATCTAGCGTTCCCTCCCCATCACTTTTTTTTTCTTTTTTAAACTATACTGGAGTTTGAACTCAGGGCTTCATGGTACTAGTCAGGTTCTCTGTCTTCAGCTTTTTTTTTTTTTTTTAACCTTTCTTAGATAAGGTCTCTCACTTTTTCCTGGAGCATCCTCCGATGTGATCCTCTCATTAGCTGGGACTTTAGGGGCAAGTCACCTTGTCTGGATTATTGATTGAGAAAAGGGTTGAAGGTCTTGCCAACTTTTTGCTCCAGCTGACCTCGTACTGCAGTGCCTCTGGTTTCTGCCTCTTGAGTATTGTATTCATTGAATTGTATTGAATTGTATTCATTGTATTGAATATATTATATTGTATTCATATTCTAATAGTTTTCTCAAACTTGGTCTCAACTCAATTTTTAATTAACTTTTTTTTTTCTTTTGGTTGGTCGTGGGGCCTGAACTCTGGGCCTGGGCACTGCTCGTCAGCTCTTCAGCTCAAGGCTAGCGCTCTACCATTTGAGCCACAGTGCCACTTCTGACTTTTTCTGCTTATGTGGTGCTGAGGAATCAAACCCAGGGCCTCATGCATGCAAAGCAAGCACTTTACCACTGAACCACCTTCCCAGCCCAACTTTTAATTAAGGGCCCCAAAGAGCGATATAGTATATGTAGGTTATAGTTATTAGTACTTACCATATTAAGCATTGAAACTATGAAATATGAAAATATTAATCTTAGTAAGCTATGTATAAAAAATGTTGTCCAAAGTTAAATGAGAATAGTAGCGTTAGTCTACACAGCCACTAAAAATCTTATGAGTGGACGAGAATTTGGCAGACAATATAATTCTGAAGATAATTTTGATCTGCTGGACCCCACTTTGAGAATTATTCTGATAGATGAAGAAAATTCAGTGTTCTTAGTCCGAAAATGTGTCAGTCACTATGGTCTTTCTGTCAAGATGGCAGCTCTCCAGTTTATTGGGTGAGCTAGATAATCTGAAATACTGCAGGTACAAACTCTTTACTCGCGTTTTTTGGAAAAATGCTACATTCTTGTCTTTTTTCCCCATCTCAGAACCATCATTGAATGGTCAGAATCCCATGATCGAGGCTATGGAAAGTTGCATACTGCTAGAATGGAAGATTTTACCTTCAATGACCTAAAAATTAAACTGGGCTTTCCTTACTTATACTGTCACCAGGGAGACTGTGAACATGTTATTGTCATTACAGACATAAGGTATGTAGCAGCATTTGGAGCATTTTGTTATTGTTATCTAATATATTATAAAAGTAGTTTTTATAAATTAAAATAGATCACCACTGTCACTTGCCTTGGGAGCAGCAAAAATATCTGCTGTGGAATAATCAACTCTTTGCATCCATTTGTATCTTCTGTTGTTAACTTTTGAAAATCTATAAGAAATGCTTTACTGTTAGTAAATTACTGTTAGGTTAAATGTCTAATTTTGGGGGGGTGTGGGAGGAGGGTCGGTCATGGGGGTTGAACTCTGGGCCTGGGTGCTGCCCCTGAGCTCTTCAGCTCAAGGCTAGCACTCTACACTTGAGCCTCTGCCTCCTAAGTAGCTAAGATTACAGGCGTGAGCCACTAGCACCCGGCTAAATGTCTATATATATATATTTTTTTAAATGTCTATATATTTTTAACACATACCTATTTTGCATATAAACAGCTAGTACTTAGGTAGTAGCAGTCATCTATTTTGTATCCTATTATGGCCGTTTGCTATTTTCAACTGTATTCTTAGGCTATTTCTTTCTTTTTTTCTTTTTTCTTTTTTTTGGGTCCGGTCGTGGGGCCTGAACTCTGGGCCTGGGCACTGTCCCTCAGCTCTTCAGCTCAAGGCTAGCGCTCTACCACTTGAGCCACAGCATCACTTCTGGCTTTTTTCTTTTTGCTTATGTGGTGCTGAGAAGTCGAACCCAGGGCCTCGAGCATGCAAGGCAAGCACTCTACCACTGAGCCACCTTCCCAGCCCTTCTTAGGCTATTTCTAAGAGGTTGTGGTGGTGGGTTTTTTCGTGTGTGTGTGTGTGTGTGTGTGTGTGTGTGTGTGTGTGTGTGTGTGTGTGTGTGTGTGTGTGTGTGTGTGTGTGTGTGTGTGTGTGTGTGTGTGTAGCTGGGGAAAAGTACTTCGCAATGCTTTACCACTAAGCTATATCCCTAGCCTTATTCTGAGTCTCTTGTCCTTTTGCAAAAATGTAAGAGATCAAAGGAAACTGGAGGAAAAGAAGAACAGTTTTAATATTTGACAAATGTAGAGTTTTAAATGCTTTGGTAGATTTTAATTGGAAAGGAATTAAAATAGTTAAGAGGAGATTTGGGGATTAGTTTAATATTTGATATAACTGATACCTCTTTCTCATGAATAAAGCTATTCATTTCCTTATTTAAGAAATACCAGTTAAGAAGGATCAGTGTGAAGGAATAGGCCCAGCTCTATTGCTTAATTCCATTTGAGAAACCATTTTAAATCTTGATTAAAGCAATGATATACCCATGTTTTTATTAAATGAGTACAAAGAATTAGTGATTTTGGAAAAGTCCCTTGCTTCTACTTCTTTATAGTCTCAGTGACTGATGTAAAATTTAGCCATGCGCTCGCTCAGTTTAGGAAGCTTCTACAGAGTAAAACATAGTGAAGATGTGGGATGCATTTGAAATAATAGATCTCATGGGAAAATGAAATTCTCATTTGATAGCTACGTAGCAGACCTAGAGCACAATGTGCTGGGAACCTGGAGCCATGTGCATTGAGAATTCATGACTTGGAAGAAAAATAGAACCGAGAGAGCTCTGTTGGTGCTTTGCTTGTGTGTGTGTGTGTTAATCCTGGGCCTTGAACTTAGGACCTCACAACCTTCCTTAGCTTTTTTGTTCAAGTCTTGGGGACTTTCTGTCTGAGCTGGCTTTGACCTTAGATCCTCAGATTTTAGTCTCCTGAGTAGCTATGATTACACTGGCACCCCGCCCTCCACTGATGCTTTAACATATGCCGTCCACTGTTCAGTCAGAAAATTGGGAACCAAATTAGTCACTACATTATATCCAACCAGAAAAATGTCTACTAAAGAGATGGGCTTAAATAAGTAGTACCGTCATAATTTAAACATTACTTAATTAAAAGCATAGTAGTTCTAGCTATATAACAAAGTTAAGTAGCTAATTTTTTTTTTTTAAGTTAAGCATAGAGGGGCTGGGAAGTTGGCTCCATGGTAGAGTGCTTGCTTCGCGTGCATGAGGCCCTGGGTTCAATTCCTCAGCACCGCATAAGCAGAAAGAAGCCGGAAGTGGCGTTGTGGCTCAAATGGTAGGGTGCTAGCCTTGAGCTGAAGAGCTGAGGGACAACACCCAGGCCTAGAGTTCAGGCCCCATCACACACACACACACACACACACACACACACACACACACACACACACACACACACACACACACACACACACACACACACACACACACACACACACACACACACACACACACACACACACACACACACACACACACACACACACGTTTAGCATAGAAAGCATTTGTAAGAGTCAGAACTTAAACCTCATGTTCGTATGAACTTTTTTTTTTATACAGAATTTGTGTTTTGGTAATGTTATTAAAGTTTATATAAGGTATTCTGTTCGCTTTTCTTAAATGCAAGGGAATGTGCATCATAGCAAATGTAAGATAGAGAGAAGCTCAGAAGTAGATTGTTTATTCAGTGGCTGAAAACAAGTAAAAAAAATGGATAGTTTTAGTTTCCTTAAGTGCTTGTAGTATAGGCATAGTGCTATAAAAGGTATCGTTCTAAGGATAAAACCGACTTTGCTGAGAAATCTTTATTAGTGACTTAAAAAGTCATTTTCATCTTGTAGGTAATTTAATTATTAAATGACATTCCATATTACCACCAAAAGTTTAATCATTTTTTATGGGTAAGACAGTGGGCTTGATCTGTAGACTAGACTGGCTCCTTGAACTCCTTTGTCCTTCTATTGCGTTTTTTTTTTTTGTCAATTGTGGGGCCTGAACTCTGGGCTTGGGCGCTGTCCCTCAGCTCTTGAGCTCAGTGCTAGCACTCTACCACTTGAAACACAGCACCACTTCCCGCTTTTTCTGCTTATGTGGTACTGAGGAATTGAACCCAGGGCCTCATGGATGCAAGGCAAGTACTCTACCATGGAGCCACCTTCCCAGCCCCCTATTGCAGCTGAGTATGATTTTCTTCCAAAAAAATTAAGTCAAGTGTTAGGACAAGAAATATTTAGGCTAATAGGTGATTTCATTTTTCAGATTAAGAATATAAATTGGCACATAATGTTTTAAGGGATTTGTCTGAAGCTGTGCAGCTGATTAGTGGCAGGGTGAAGGCTAATTTCCACTTTTTACAGTTTAATTTTTTTGAATGTTATCATACATGTGAAATATAGAGTGGTTACTTTTTACATAGTTTCTTAAAACAACATTTCAGCCATGCACCCGTGCTTCACACCTGTAATCCTAGCTGCTCAGGAGGTTGAGTTCTGAGGATCATGGTTCAAAGCCAGCCTGGGTAGAAAAGTCCCTATGAAATTCTCATCTCCAATTAACTACTCACAAAAAACTGGAAGTGGCACTGTCGTAGATTGCTAGCCTTGAGCAAAAGAGCTCAGACAGCATCCAGACCCAGAATTCAAGCCCACAACAGGAAGAACAAAACAAAAAAGTATTATAATTCTGATACTTAAAACTAAAATCCCACCAATTCATGTTATACCAGAAGCCAGACATAGATTTTTATTTTATTTTTTGGTTGTTCATGGGCCTGGGCAATGTTCCTTAGCTCTTCAGCTCAAGGCTAGTGTTCTACCACTTGAGCCATAGTGCCACTTCCAGCTTTTTTAAATTTTTTTTAAATTTTTAATTTTTTTTTTTTTTTGTGAAAATACTGTACAGAGGGGTTACAATTACATGGGCAAGATAATGAGTACATTTCTTTTCTTTTTTTTTTTTTGGGTTGGGGGGAGAGTCCAGTCGTTGGGCCTGAACTCTGGGCCTGGGTGCTGGCCCCTAGCTCTTCAGCTCAAGGCTAGCACTCTACCACTTGAGCCACAGCGCCACTTCCGGATTTCTTCTTTTTGCTTATGTGGTGCTGAGGAATCAAACCCAGGGCCTCAGGCATGTAAGGCAAGCACTCTACCACTGAGCCACCTTCCCAGCCCATGAGTACATTTCTTATCAAGCATTGTAGCCTCCTCCTTTGTTTTCCTTTCCCACCCCATCCTCCCCCCAACTTCCAGCTTTTTCTGCTTATGTGGTGCTGAGGAATCGAACCCAGGGCCTCATGCATGCACTCAACCACTGAGCCACCTTCCCAGCCTGACTTGGATTTTTAATGACTTAAGACTATTTTAATAATAGTAATAGTGGAAAAAACGAAAAAAAAAGAGCCAAGTTGATAACCATTCAAGCTAGGAAAAACATCATTGAGTACTCTGGCTCCAACTATGTTCCTTAAGTAAAGGTTCTGAGTGTTAAAGCAAGGATTCTCTGATGTCATACATTTAGGAAATGCTGTATGCCGGGCGCCCCTGGCTCATGCCTGTAATCCTAGCTATTCAGGAGGCTGAGATCTGAAGATCTCAGTTCAAAGCCAGCTGGGGCAGGAACATCCATGAGACTCTTTTCTCCAATACACCACTAGAAAACTGGAAATGGTGCTGTGGCTCAAGTGGTAGAGCGCTCGCCTAGAGCTGAAGAGCACAGGGACAGCGCCCAAGCCCAGAGTTCAAGCCCCACGACCCACAAAAAAAAAAAAAAAGAAAGAAAAAAAACGCTGTATACAGTAGCTCCTTTTTAGAGGGTAATAATATTTTAGCATGAGAGATCTACAAACTCACATGAAAGAATACTTTGCGGTTAGAAATGTGGCTTAGTGATAGAGTGCTTGCCTAGCATGCATAAAGTCCTGGTGCGATTCCTCAGGACCACATACACAGAAAAGGCTGGATGTGACTGTGGCTCAAGTGTTAGAATGCTAGGCTTGAGCAAAAGAAACTCAGGGACAGTGCCCAGGCCCTGAGTTCAAGCCCCAGGACTGGCAAAAACCAAAAACAAACAAAAAAAAAAAACACCTTGTATAATCTAAAATATTGCTGGAAGAAAGGATTTCATGTAACAGGTGAGTCAAACTTGGTATAACAAGTCAGTTTAGCTAAATCTTTTGTAACTAAAACTTGAAAATAGAATCTTATGTTCCTAATATTGAAGTACACATAATGTTTTATATATCCTAAGTTTTTACCAAAATATTTTCCATTTTCTCACAAATGATAGGCTTGTGCATCATGACGACTGCTTGGATAGAAAACTTTATCCACTTCTTACTAAAAAGCACTGGCTATGGACCAGAAAATGTTTTGTGTGTAAAATGTACACAGCTAGGTGAGTGGTACCTATTTTTTTTGTCTCTAAAAATTAAGTACTTTGAGCACTTGTTTTCCATTTTGTATTTAAGCAATCTTGCCTTGAGATTGTAAGGACCTTTATCTAACAGGGAAAGCACTAGTCAGTTTAGAAGGTTAAAATAGAGCATTTTGTTTAAACTAAGGATTGAACCCAGGGTCCCACATGCTAATCCACTTGTATCCTACCACTGAATTGAGCTTCTAGTCCTGGAGCTGGAACAAACAGTCCCTAGGCACTGTCCCTGAGCTGTTTTGCATAAGGCTGGTACTCTATTTGAGCCACAGCTCCACTTCGAGCTTTTGATGGTTAATTGGAGATCACAGACTTTCCTGCCAGGATTGGCTCAGTCTCTTAAGTAGCTAGGATTGTATGAAACACTGGTGCCTGGCTCCCAGGAGCACCTTTAAGTGAGGAGATAGATGATTGATAGATGGATAGGGCTATATCTTAGATTATGTATATAACTTCAGGGTTGAAATATCTAGGTGGCCTCTTGCCCAGAGTTTACAAGACCAGCTCCACCCACCATACAGCTTTTCCTTAGTGAAAAAATGGAGCACATTCCATACAATGAGGTCAAAATAATTACCAAAGTTTTTTGGTATGGTGTAGTGACACACAGTCCTAACCCCTAGGTAGTTTGAGCCTGAGACAAGGGAAGTGCGAGTTCAAGGCTGGGCTTAGGCAGCGTAAGACTCTGCCTCAGAACTTTTTTAAGGTGGGGGTGGGGGGCGACGGATGGGGGATGGATGTGTATTTCTGTGATAGAATAGTTGCCTAACATGCACAGTCTCTGGGTTCAAGTCTCAATACTGCCCAAAGTGTAGGGTTTATATGAGTCTGTATGTTTACATTATTACTGCAAATGGGTGAAAGTTTTAAAACTATTTACAGCAATAGAAAATAAGTTAGTGTCTTCATCTAGCCTTGGGTTAAAAAGAGCCATACGAAACAGCAATCACCATCCTAACTAATTGACAGGCAGAGATCTGGGGAGATCACAGTTCATGGCCAGCCAAGGAATTAAAAGTTTGAGATTTTAGCTCAATCAATGACTGACAGAGATGGCATGCACCTGTTATCCCAATGATAAGGGAAAATAAGTAGGATGACTGCAGTTCAGGCTGGCCTAAGCACAAAGTGAGACTCTCTGTACAAAATAATACAAAAAGGGGCTGGTGAACAAAGCAGTAGAGCACATGCTTGAGTTCAAATCTCAGTATTGCTCCCCCCCAAAGAAAAACATAAAGTAGTTGAAATTAAAGTGAAAGGATATTGAAAGGCAAACATTCTAGAATACTAAATTGTTTCCAAATTAGCCAGTACTATATTTTACCAGTTTTAAAATAATTTAGTGCTTAGCTGGGTGCTCACGCCTGTAATCCTTGCTACTCAGGAGGCTGAGATCTGAGGATCGAGGTTCAAAGCCAGCCCGGGCAGGAAAGTCCCATCAGACTCTTGCCTCCAATAAAACCACCAGAAAACCGGAAGTGGCGCTGTGGCTCAAGGGGTAGAGTGCTTGCTTTGAGCTGAAGAGCACAGGGACAGCGCCCAAGCCCAGAATTCAAGCCCCACAGCCAACAACAAAAGAAATTAGTGCTTGCCTTGGTGGCATGTATATAAACTTGGAACGATGCAGGTTACCATATCCCCTGAACAAGAGTGCCATGCAGATGTGTGGATTTTTTTTTTATTCCACAATAAGGAGTGTCTACAATAATTTGATACATTTCAAATTAACTTGAACTAGAAGGCTCTCAGAGCTCAGAAATGGTAAATGCTCAAGGAAATATGAATGCTTTATCTTGATCAGTTACAAACATTCATCAATTAAAAACAGAAAAATACTAGCTGGGCATGGTGACATACATTCTCAGCACTTGGGAAATGGCAGCAAGATGATCTTGATTTCAAGGCTAACCTTGGCTACTTAGCAAGACCTTGTCCCCCCAAACAAAACAAGGGCATATAATAAAGTTAAATTAAGAAAAAGTATATTAGGTTAAACATCTAGGAATCATGGTTTTCAAGTGGCCTATTGAAAGTGACCATGTCAGCAGGACAGCTATGCTGCAGCACATGTATGATCTTTTCCTCTACATCTGTAGTTTCCTCTACTTATCCTTAAAGGAAATCTTAGAGAAACAGTATCTCATTGTTAGGTGCTTCTTTGACTTAGTACTTGCGTAAGCTGATAATAGTGGAAATGTTTTATTTACATATTACATCATGCTGTAGCATTAAAAGATGATGTACACCTCTTTTTTTAAAAAAATTACAGGTGGGTGACGAACAATGACAGTTTTGCACCAGAGGACCCATGTTTCTTTTGTGATGTTTGCTTCCGAATGCTCCACTATGATTCAGCTGGCAACAAACTGGGGGAATTCCTTGCTTATCCATATGTTGATCCTGGAACCTTTAATTAATACAAAAACAAAAACCAAATGTTTGAAATATCTTTTACTATTTATTCCAAATATATTTATTTTGTGCTTTTCACTTGGGTTGTTTTTATCGAATGGATTTATAGAAGTGCTTTATATATTCTAATTATGTATATGGGCAGATACACAATTCTCATTCATTTCTCTCAATCCATCGCTTGCCTATTCTGTATCCTTAGTGGTTTTTGTTCTTTTGTTTTTGCTAAGGTCAGAATGTAATTAATGATAAATCAGGTATCAGAAGTATTTTGAAAATTCTTTGAATGATTTTTTTTTTTGGCGGGTCCTGGGGCTTGAACTCTGGACCTGGGCACTGTCCAGAGCACTCTACCATCTGAGTCATAGTGCCTCTTCTGGCTTTTTTTAGTTTATTGGAGATAAGAGTCTCACTGAGTTTCCTGCCCCGGCTGGCCTCAAACTTTGATCCTCAGATCTCAGCCTCAGGTAGCTAGGATTATAGGCGTGAGCCACTGGCGCCCAGCTTCTTTGAAGAATTTGAGAGCTAGACCTTCTACCATGAAGCTTCCAAGGTAAAGATCCTTCAAATATCTGTAGGGAAAATCAGGGAGAAGTTAAAAATGAGCAAATTATTTCATAAACACAAAATTAGGAATGATTATAATTTTATAATAGGTTCTTGTGATAGGTTGTTATTATATAGAAATAAAGTATACAATGCTCTTTTTCTTTGGATGCTAGTCTTAGGGCTTGAATGCAGGGTCTGGGTTCTGTCCCTGGGCTTTTTTGTACTCCAGCTCCACTTCCAGCTTTTTCTTTGCGGAGGGGGTGGGGGGGGGGGGGGGTTGTGGGCCTGGGCACTGTCTCTCAGCTCTTCAGCTCAAAGCTAGCGCTCTACCACTTGAGCCACAGTGCCACTTCCAGCTTTTTTCTTTTTGCTTATGTGGTGCTGAGGAATTGAACCCAGGGCCTCTTGCATGTAAGCTACCACTGAGCCACCTTCCCCCCTATGTTCCAAGTTTAATATTTAAGAAAAAAAAAGAACCAGTAACTGATTTTATACTACCATGGAGGTATACAGGGGCAAGTTTTGTGGATTGCTACTTCTGACTCACTCATTCTTGGACAATAATACTAAGTATGTTCTTTTGGGTCCCTTTTATAATAGTTACTCCTTTTTCCATTCAAAAGGGAACATAAATAAATCCCCTGATCAAAATCTTGGGGAAACCCTTTTGGTTATAAAATTTAGTACATTCTTTAAAAAAAAATTTTTGCTGGGGGGGGGGGGGGGCCGCGGGTGGGGAGGAAGGGGAATAGGTCGTGAGGCTTGAACTCTGAGCCTGGACATTCATTGTTCCTCATCTCTCCAGCTCAAGGCTAGCACTCTACCACTTGAGCCACAGCGCCACTTCCGGCTTTTCTGCTTATGTGGTACTAAGGAATCAAACCCAGGCCCTCATGCATGCAAGGCAAGCACTCTACCACTGAGCCACCTTCCCAGCCCTTTTAAAATATTTTAAATGTTCAATTTTCACTTTTTCTCTTCTAGGTTATATTTACATCCAGCTGAATTCCATATTTCTCTGAATGGCTAAGAACATCTTACCATTACAAAGCCTGTTTAAAAGATTTGACAGTAAAGGTATTTTCATGGACTTATATATCAACATCCTGTTTCTGGTATGTCTAAGGTGCTCACATTCACATTCAGTGGATTAGCAAAAAGGACTAGACACCCCTCAATGGCTGCCTTATTTTGTGCCTAAATTTTTACATTCTTGTATCCAATGGTGCTAACATTGATCAAACTGAAAATTATGTTGGAAAAAAAATCACAGCTTTAAGATGAGTGATTTACCCAAGTCCTAGAAGTCTACAGGTAAAAAATTATTTTGATTTCTTTATTAATATTCTATTTCTTATAGCTCTTGCAATAATTTAGAACGGTTGGTTTGTTTTTGATTGGTTTTCACTTCTTACAACAGATTAGCTAATCCACTTAGGTATCAGATAAAACATTACTGTACTAGACTTCTTTATGATTGAGAATCTTGTTCTGCTAGTTCTTGGGGCTAACACTGTCAAAGACCTATTTACTAACAAAACTGAGAAACAAGGAACAATGTGTTGCCCAATATGTTACTGATCATTTATGGCAGCTGGCATCCCCATTAAATTCATGTCAAAACAACTGCCTAACTTTATACATTCTAGACCTATAAAATCCCTGAAATAAGACTTTATTGAAATGCAACTTTAGTAAATATACCATGGCTTTTACATGTATCAATGTAAGAAGCAAAAGCAGATACTAAAGTAGGGAATCTATCAATACCTCCAAGTTAGAAATTAGTTCTCTGTATAATGATGAGTACATGTGCAAAAGACCACTGTACAGAAAAGCAATAGTATTCCCTTAAACATCTCTCTCTAGCTTCAAAATCCTTTTCAGACATTGATAGTTTTACTTAGGAAAAGGACAGTTGTCTCTAACAGCACTGTTAAGAGAATAACACAACAATATAAGCATATAGTAGTAGCATATAACCATATAGTAGTAGATTCTTCATTTCTTGGGGGCTTAGAGATATAGGTTTGCTATTTCCAATACATTAAAAAAAAAACAACTTATTAGCTGGGTGCTGGTAGCTCATGCCTGTAATCCTAGTTACTCAGGAGGCTGAGATCTGAGGATCATGGTTCAAAGCCAGCCCGGGCAGGGAAAGTCCTTGAGACTTTTTTGGGGGGGGGGGGGGGGGGAGGTCCGGTCATGGGGCCTGAACTCTGGGCCTGGGCGCTGTCCCTCAGCTCTTCAGCTCAAGGCTAGCGCTCTACCACTTGCGCCACAGCACCACTTCCAGCTTTTTTCTTTTTGCTTATGTGGTACTGAGGAATTGAACCCAGGGCCTCAAACATGCAAGGCAAACGCTCTACACTGAGTCACCTTCTCAGCCCCTCCTTGAGACTCTTATCTCCAATAAGCCACTAGAAAACAAGAAGTGGCATTGTGGCTCCAGCAGTGGAGTGCTTGCCTTGAGCTGAAAAGCACAGAGACAGCGCCTAAGCCCAGAGTTCAGGCCCCACGACTGACCAAAAAAATATTTAAAAACTTACTAGTGAAGTGCTAGTAGAGTTACAGAAGCCTTTGTTCTGGTACAAGATTTCATGGCAGATCTCACCTTGCCATAACGTCTTAAACAGGTAAGTTAGTGTAAGTAGGGAACATTGTTAGTGTTCTATGATCACTGAGTTTGCAAAAACAGGGAACATAATAGTCGTGTGGCTTAAGGTACCCTGGTCAAATTATTTTTATATACAAGCTTCCAATCAGGTTCTCTGAATCTAGAAATACATCTGAAATTTCTCCAAACTGCTGAGAAAATGGTCGACAATTCTTGCTCTTCAAAATGTTTTCCAGTGATTTAAAAAAAAGCACAAAACAGGTGGGCACTGGTGACTGAGGCCTGTAATCGTACTCAGGAGGAGGCTGAAATCTGAGGACTTCATTGAAATAACCTCAGTGACTTTGTTTTTTGGTGCTGGTCCTGGGGCTTGCACTCAGCAAGTGGGCACTGTCTCTTAAGCTTTTCTGCTCAAGGCTAGTGCTCTACCATTTGAACCACAGTACCACTTCTGGTTTTCTGGTAATTAATTGGAGGTAAGAGTCTCAAGGACTTTCCTGCCCATGCTGGCTTTGAATTGCGACCCTCAGATCTCAGCCTGGAATACCTAGGGTTACAGAAGTGTGCCCAGCCACATAAAACTAAGTAGAACCAATGTTTCTTAAAGTTCTTGGTGATTATAAAAATGTTAAGAGCTCTGTCTGTGAATCAGACTATGAGCAAAATTTCAAAATTAAAAATGGCAACTGTTGCCAGGTGCCAGTAGCTCACATCTGTAATCCTAAATTACTCAGGAGGCTGAGTGAGATCTTTAGATCAAGGTTCAGAGTAAGCTTGGGTAGGAAAGTCTATGAGACTCTGATCTCCAGGTGACAGACTGCTAGCCTTTGGCAAAACTGCATAGGGACAGCTCTCAGGCCAAGTTCAAGCCCCATTACCTGCATGAACTAAAAAAACAAAACAACAACAACAGGTAACTGCTTAAGAAAACAACACAGACATCCCTGGTTAGAGCATAGTTATTAAGCCTATGCAAACAAATCATTTAGCTGGATCATGGAAGAATGGGCAGTATGAACAAAAATTAAAAATACTACCTTTATCATCACCAGCTTACTATATCTCTAAGCAGCAGTTAATTAAGAAATTATTTCCTTAGCAAACCAAAATTCCTTCACTTGTTTTAGAAAGTAGCAAGAGTAATTTACTAAGTTTGATAGAAAAAATTTTTAATCAAAAGAAGTTCACACAATACTATGGCTTAACTAGAGTTTCTGTAAAACAGTAGTTCTGTTGTAAGATATTTCAAAGGCATAACTCCAATTTTACCAATTCAAAGTTTTGGTGCCAATGAAAACAAATTATTCTCGAAGTTAAAGCATAATAAATGCCACAAACATTTCTCATATAGTTTTCAAAATAAGAACTTAATATCCAAAGTATTTTAGATATGCCATTCTTTAATCTTAAATTTTGTAATAACATTGGTTCACTGTGCTTGAGTCCATACATAAATATAATGTACTACCTTAGAGTAATCTTTCTACCCTTTGTGATCCTTACATGTATAAAAATTAAATACCAATTCCCTTTTAATATAGCCATGCTTTCAATAGGTTACTTTCCTAACATAGCACTTTTATTAATCACCTAAGCATTAGGGATTGCCTTTTTTCCAATTAAAAATTACTTTGTGACTTCCCGTAATGAGTGGTTTGTTTTTTTTGAATTAGTAACTTAAAAAGGATATTTTCAAAAAAATTCTTTCATTTTCTGTTGTTACTATTGCTTGTGGAAAAGATCTTAAGATAGTTGAACTCTAAAGCCAGATTCATCCCTATATGTACCCCTTTGGTTCTGTCAGGAATTTATGTGATATCACTGAATTCCTAGCCACAGAACTAAACTACCTTCAAAAGTTAACTTGAGGAGTCATACAAAAAGGTCTACAGACCACACATTGCTACCAAAGCAGGGAATGTAAACTGAGATTAAAATTAACTTTTGATAAAGGAGAGACTGAGTACTTGTATAGAAGTAACATTTTATCCAACCATAAAAATGCTCAACTTCTACAAAACTCACACAGTGAAAAGACAGTCTGATAAATCCAAGTTCGTAAAAACGCCACAAAACCCATCATATATGGGAAAAGAGGAAAGATTTATACAAGTAGCAGTTTAAAAATGTAACCTTGTTCTACTATCAATTACACATTAACATAGACACGCTAATTGAAAATATCCTACAACCATGTCTGGAAAGGCAGTTTAGCATTTTCTAAGTGGATTTCACACACACACACATTTACTGTATAATGAAGTTGTTAATACTGCACAAGTACAATTAGCAATAATGTTCAATTACTTTTAAACAAAGATAAAGGGATCTTCTCCCTCAAAACTTAAGTATTAAACATCAAAACCTATGCTTACAAAATTAAAAACTTTCAGCAGTCTAAATATTTCAAATGAAAACTATTACAAACTTCTCATATGTTCTTTATAGTCCAGGTCAACCTAGTTATCTAGTGTGGAATCCTTGAGCGATATTTCAGTCTCTCTCTCTTCTCCAGATGGCCTAAAGGAGGAGAAAAGGTGTAAAAACTCCTTTAAAATCTATTAAATATGAGCCTTCTATTTTTAAAATCATGAAAAGAAACCCTTGTTCAAAATTTTATTTTACTGTGTTGTATCTTCCCAAATTATTACACAGATCAAGTAAAATAACAAGAAAAGTATCATGCTTTTTAATGCATCTATGATATCAATATCAAACAATAAAATGGGAGAAATATAGAAAGAGATTTCCCCTATTTTCAGAATTAGAAGACACTAAATTTCAAATACTTGAACAAAACTAAGATTACAGTTTACATAACTAAATAGCTAGTTATTTAGGGTAGGATCACAGTATAAAACAGTTGTTAGTTCTTAATATATTTTCCTCACAATTCAGCAAACTATGAAAATTTCAATTTTTTAAAAAATCAGAGTAATTTTTTGGGGGGGAGTGGCCAATTGGGGGGCTGGAACTCAGGGCCTGGGCACTGATCCTGAGCTTTTTCTGTATTTTTTGGTGGTCAATTGGAGATGAAAGTCTAATGGGACTTTCTTGTCCAGGCTGGCTTTGAACTATGATCCTCAGACCTCAGCCTCCTGAGTAGCTAGGATTATAGGAGTGGGCCACCAGCACCCAGTGAAAGTATTTATTTAATTTTTTTGGTGGGCCGTAGGGCTTGAACTCAGGGCCTGGATGCTTTCCCTGAACTTTTCCACTGGAGGCTAGTGCTCTACCACTTTTGAGCCACAGTTCCACTTCTGGTTTTCTAGTGGTTAGTTGGAGATAAAAGAGTCTCAGACTTTCTAGCCAGGCCTGGCTTTGAACCTTGATGCTCAGATCTCTAACTCATGAGTAGCTTGGATTACAGGTGTGAGCCACCAGTCTCCATCTTAGAGTAATTTTTCTTAAATTGTATTGCTACCTAGCACAATTTCCTTGAATATAGTGGCAAATTAATTTTATATAAACTGTTGGTATTCTTTTTTTTTTTGGGGGGGGGGGGGGGGGTCCGGTCGTGGGGCCTGAACTCTGGGCCTGGGTGCTGTCCCTCAGCTCTTCAGCTCAAGGCTAGTGCTCTACCACTTGAGCCACAGCGCCACTTCTGCTTTTTTCTTTTTGCTTATGTGGTGCTGAGGAATCAAACCCAGGGCCTCAGGCATGCAAGGCAAGCGCTCTACCACTGAGCCACCTTCCCAGCCCAAACTGTTGGTATTCTTGCCTTTATTGAATTCACTGATTAAAATATAACCCCTACAGCCATGGGTAGAACACTAGTCTAAGTGTGGTTGAGATCCTGAATTTGATCACCAGCAATGTAGGAAGTTAAATAAATGAAGCCCTCTAGAAATAATCTTGGAGCAGTACTATGATTAAACATGTAAATGAGAGAAACAGACAAAGACCCATTAAGGTATATCCTCACTTTTTTTTACTGCTGGCCTCATGGTTGTCCTTGTTTTCTTCATTGCTGTCTCCATTGTGTTGCAGCTGATTACTATCTTGGACATCAGATCCTCCATTGAGAGTCTTTGAACCTTTAGAAGAATTCCAATGGAAAGACATTACTTTTCAAATGTTTTCTACAAAGTGTTATAGCATAGCACTTGTTTCTAATATTAAACATTTGATGCCTTTTTTTTACATGTGAAACTGCCTAAGCAAGTCCTTTTTTCCCCCCCAGTTAATTTTTTTGTTATTAATAAGAATTATACAAAGGGGTTACAATTCTAGTAAGTCAGGTAATATCATGCTTCTTGGACAATGTTGCCCCTTCCTTTCCTTTTCCCCATTGCTCCCCCCTCCCATCCCTGCCTATAAGTTGCACAGGACTGCATTTGCGCACCCTTTGTCCCTTTAGTCTTGTGCCTCTCTTGATACCATTTCAGTACAGGTATACTGTATTGTCGCCAGGTGCTGGTAGCTCATGCCTGTAATCGTAGCTACTCAGAAGGCTGAGATCCAAGAATCATGATGGAAGCCAGCCCAGGCAGAAAAGTCAGTAAGACTCTTATCTCCAGTTAATCACAGAAAAAGCCAGAGTTCAAGGGGTAGAGTGCTACCCTTGTGCAAAAGAAGCCCAGGGACAGCTCCTGGAACAGCAAGATAAATAAGCAAATAATACTGTTTTGTCAACTGTCATCAGCCAAGGCCTTTAAACAGCTACGGTTCAGTAAAAAGATTATTACTGTTCTTTATGGAGAAAAGAACTGATTACTCATTTAACAGTTGTTACTAGCAGATAGACTACAAAATGTTACAACTGTTTACTATGTTAATTCCAAGTTTTTTACATAAATACAGGTTTTTAAATGACTCAAGTACAAATTTTATAATCATTATTAGTATTTTAGTACAAAATGTTAACATTAGTGTTTCCTGATAGGATTTTTTTGTCTAGTAAGTGAATCACAGGAGCTTTCTTGCCCATCATATTTTTTTTTGTTTTTTTTTTTTATTGTAAAGCTTGCCCATCATATTTTTAAGGAGACCTATGATTCCCTAATGGAAGTTTAAAAGAAAAAGTTTGAAATTTGATTTTTAGAGTCCATTATAATCATGTACCGATTAAGTATACATATCCAAAATGCTTACCCAGAAATGTTTAGGATTGCAGACTATTTTGGATTATGGAATATGGGATTTGGAGGGTTACATTTTAAACTTTTTTTTTTGGTGCTGGTCCTACGGCCTGGGTGCTGTCCCTAAATTTTTGTGCTCAAGGCTAGTGATGGTTAAATCAGGCTCACAGAGCCTGGTGGCTGTAATCCTAACTGCTCAGGAGGCTGAGATTTGAGGATCAAGGCTCAAAGCCAGCCCAGGCAAGAAAGTCCATGGGATTCTTACCTCCAATTAATCACCAGAAAACCGGAAGTGGAGCCATGGCTCAAAGTTTCAAGGCTAGCACCCAGGCTATGAGGTGAAGCCCCATGACTAACTCCCCACCATGAGTTAGCAAAGTCTCATGGACTTTCCTACCCTGGCTGGATTTGAATCAAGATCCTTAGATCTTAGCCTCCTGAGTAGCTAGCATTACAGGCATGAGTGACTGGTGCCCAGCTACATTAAGGTTTTGACAGTATTTGATTGTCATTCTTGCCTGCTCAACAGGAACTCTAACACATAAGCCATGCCTCCAGACCCCTTGACTACATTTATGTGCTACTAATTAGCAACTATTTTCTTATATTTATCTACACAGAAGCAGTTAACTGTAAAAAAAAAAAAAAAAAAAAAGAAGAAAGAAAATTACATTTCATTGGCACAGTGAAAAACTAATGTATTCTGGATGACAAAACAGCACAGTAACATCACATCAGTGATAAACAACAACAGTAATATCAACAGCTTATCTCCACTTTGATGCTACATTTTGGTTACTCTACTTTTTTTGGTTAGAAGGATCAGAGCAGTTGAGGGAGCAAATGTGGTTCTCCAGCATTCTGATACAAGACACAAGAGTATTTTGTCTAACAGAGGTTTTGTTGGGGTTTCTTGTACACCTGACAAGATTTCTTGTGTCATAATGAATGTTGACTAATAATAATGAATTGTTTACCAATAAGCTTTATCACATTTTTACTGTCTACAAGCACTTTCTGTGCAGTATTACCATCTCCAGTCACTATTACCTTCATTCAGAACTATTTGGCTATTTTAAGGTCAATGAATGCATAACAGAGCCTCGTTATATGAATATTATGTTTCTTCAAAATCCACTTCTTCCAGCTTACTGGCACATGCTGAAGGTATACTGTTTGAATGTTATCAAAACCATTTTTTTTTGGGGGGGGGGGGGGTCCAGTTGTGGGCTTGGGCGCTGTCCCTCAGCTCTTCAGCTCAAGGCTAGCGCTCTACCACTTGAGCGCCACTTCTGGCTTTTTTCTTTTTGCTTATGTGGTTCTGAGGAATCGAACCCAGGGCCTCATGCATGCAAGGCAATCACTCTACCACTGAGCTACCTTCCCAGCCCTCAAAACCATTTTTAAAAGCAGTCCTCAGTTAAAAACCCAAGCCTCAAAGTAATTAACACATACCTGTTTGTTCCTTTTCTAGCTTTTTGTTTGGCCCTTTCTTTCCTTGGTCTTTGGTTTTATTTGCTTCTTCATGCTGTCTTTGTTCAGCAAGAGATTTATTCAGCACTTGTGTGATGACAGAATCTCCTTCACCAACCAAAAACATGTTCTTAAACTTGTTATACAACATTGTAGACTTCTCCATAATAACTTGACTAACTTTGAATCGTCGTATCTGAGGAAATAATAAATACCATGATTTTCCCTAATCAGTTTATACTTTTGAAAAAATGAGAAAAAATTTTAGAAGCCTATGAGTTGAAATCACTTACTTTTTTCAGTGTTGTAATCATTTCTGTGTGTTTCTGAGCTTGTTGCATTGTGACCTGAAGTGAAGCAAGTTCATCCAAGGCTTCAATGCATCTGTTCACATCCTTTAGGCGAAACAAAAATATCATAACTGTCAGTTATCACAGTGTGTGTGTGTGTGTGTATATATATATATATATATATATGTTCATATATATATATATATATATATATATATGCACACAGATACATATATAACCTATTTCTGAAGATTTTTTATAAACTCAAGGCAGTACAGATGACCAGTCATTATCCCTTTTATGCTAAAGTTGCATATTTCTACAACCATGTAAGAAATAGAAAACTTAAAGCAGCACTGTAGTTTTAACACTTACAAGATTATCGATTTTGAGTGAATTTTTAATTTCAGCATGTATCCTTTGAAGTCGGGAATCCATTGATGTTTCTATAAATTTAAGTATGTGAAAAACAGTAAATAGTTTTTTCCCAAACTAATATTTCTGTACAGTCTCAGCAAAACATAATGCAAAGAAAAAATTTCTTAGTAATCTTTAATAAGCAACTCAAAGTAAGGTTACCCTGCTCTTTTGAATACATGGCAACTTGCTACATCAAAGCACAAAATTCCCCTATAGCTTCATTTTCTAAAATAAATCTGTATCCAACAATGAACTCCTCTACTATGCACCAAGCTAAATATAATCTGCTTTACCTTATGCATAAGTTGAAGGGATTTGTACTGGCAGTTACAAAAGCCTGACATTAAACAAACATAAAGTCTTCAAAGTTCATCCGAAAAGTTCAATTTATATAAATCCACTAGGATTTGAAAAAGTGTACTTGTAGAGAATACACAAAAAATGAGATGTAAGTTCAAACCCAATAGAATTTATGTATGTAACTATAATCTTATGTATCTTAGAAAGTGAAATAACTAACCTCGTTTCTTCTCCACTTTCTTAACTTCTGGCTTCTTTCCTTCATCTTTATTCTGCCTATCAAATGTTAACACAAATATTTCAAATCAATGGAACCTTGTGACTCTTATTACCAATACCCATAAAAATTACCAAGTGCCTATTGTCCCTATGTAAATGTAAAAAAATTTCCATAAACTAATATTCTAGACCACAGGGAACTGACTAATTTTCATAACTATGCATTAGCATAAATATAAGTAAAATTTGAACATGCTAAATTTAGTCTCTTCTTAAATTTTGGTGGTATGGAGGTTTGAACTCAGGGCTTTGTGTTTACTAGACAGGCGGTCTAGCTCTTTTTGCTGTGGGTTATTTTGGAAATAGGGTCTCACTCCACATTCCCACCCTAACCCATAGCTGGTGTGAACCATACTTCTGTAGCTGGGATGGCAGCCATATGCCACCACACCCCACTTCTTTTCTATTAATATTGGGATCTCATGAACTTTTTTTTCTGTCAAGAGTAGCCTGGAACCTTGGTCCTCCCAATCTCAGCTTCCCAGGTATCTGGGATGACAGATGTGAACTAGTACACTTACAATGAGATTTCACATTTTGCCCATGTAGGCACATTAAACTGAGATCCTCTCTATCTCTGCTTTGCTAGGTTTACATGTATGAGCCGCTTGTGCCCAGAAAATGTAATTATTTTTTAGTGACAACACAAAATGATTTTGAAGTTATCAGAGTGTAATTCTCTTTCCAACAATAGATGTTAAAAGTTTAGTTTCAAGACCAATGGATAAGCAAGCTCCAACAATTAAGAAAATACCTATTAACAAAAGTCATTTTTAAAAGGTCAAAATTGACCAACTGAATTATTTTCCATATACTATAAAGGACAGTTTGAGGGGTTTTGAACTTGGCTTTAATATTAACTATATTACATTACGATTGTACTGTGATTTCTTTAATTTTTAATTTGATTGGGGACAGGCCAACAAATCAACTGACAGCCATTTTACATACCATTTCACAAATGAAAAGGTACCATTTCAGTGTAATCACAAAAATAACCACTTAAAATTGCAATATTAATTTCTAATACCATAGCTCAGAGCTCAGGCCATATTATGAACCAATTAAAATAGACAAGAACAAAAAAAATACCTAAAAATCAGTTTTTTTTTTTAAAAAAAACTTTATTTTAAAATTTTGGTTACAGTTTCATATTGTACTTAACACGTCTACTGGTTAACCTCTCAGGATTAAAAAAAAAAAAAAAACAAGATTCTAAAGAAGTGAACAACAAAGAAATGTCAAGGAAAGGGCACAACTGCCCCATTCTTAGGGATTCCAGTTCTTAGCTATTCCAGTTTAATATCTAGCTTCAAAACAAAACGAATTTTTATATTTTCTAAATGAAATAATGTACAACCACCAACTTTATCTACGCTTATAACTTCCAAACACAAAGCTTCATCTTAAGCTTGGCTTAAAAAAAAAAAAAAAACAGGAATGATGGCCAACCTTAATATGTAGTGTGTACCTTACAGGAAATTTTGTTAACAATCATAACACAGTAATAATGCCATTAATAGTGAAGTCCTCAATTTAGAATCTGGAACATTCTTCCATCAAGGGGGGGGAGGGGGAAATTCAGTCCAATGAGTCTGTCTCAAGATCTTCATCTCTGGTTTGCTCCACTTGTATTCTCTTTTCAGTTACTGGATTAATGCTTTGAGCCCAAAATGAGATATATTTTTTATTACTGTAGATTACATGTTGTTTGGCTGGGAATACAATACAATAAACTTTATTTTGCATAATGCATTTCACACAAGATGCATCTGAAATGCTTTACAGAGCAAAACTGTCCAAGTACAAAGTTTTGTAATAACAGGAGAAGGAAAGAAAACACAAATATTAGAATTCGAGAAGGTCACATTGGAGGACATTCAAAAGAAGCTGAAATACATAAAGAAAACTGAGATACTGAAAGAAGATTGGGCTAGATTTACTAAGCAACAACTAATTTGGGGAGCACAATGACGTTAAAAGCAACAAACAGTCCAACAACTTTTCAGTGGAAAGATAGAAAGGGATAGGTAACAAAAAACTAATACATGTAAGTGGTCCAAATCTAACATTACTGGGAGTAACATTTTTGTGAGATTTAATTTTCAATTACTCCCTCAAGTAGCTGAAACTGCTTATATGTCCTCCAAACAACTAGGAAGCAGTCAATGTACTTGGCTTTTGGCATACGGATGCATTATATAAAGAAAAACATAAAATTATGATTAGAGCTTCATTGGTCATATTGTCTCAGTATGACCTGGAGCATATTTTTTAAATTACCTCCACTAAGTAAGAACAAAAAAGCAAAGTTTGATCAGAGTGGAAGACACTTCACAGAGTAAGTATTTTAGAGAAAGAACTCAGAAATGACAGTATAAAGGTTACTAGGAAAACAAATGTAATAAAAAGACATGAAGTCTAATCATTTTCATTGCTATCACTTTCCCATTACATTATATAATAAAGGGGAAGAATTCCCCATGGTAAGTATATACTGTTCTCCAAGTATTAAAACAAAGGGAAAATATTGAGCTTGATTTATATTGCACACATCAAATGCAAACCTTATAAAATATATTTTTATTTACTTTTACTGACTTTCTGGACTTCCAGCTGTGCTTTAGGTTTTTTTGCTGGTCTTTAGGTGTAGGCTTGCTGGTGGTTTAACCAAAAAGAGTATTTCCTGCTTTCTTTCTCCACCAACATTATTATTGCCATTCTTCTTACACTCAGTATATTATACAAACAGCAGAGGATGAGTATATTCTCTGCAAACCACTAGAAGTTAAAAACTATACTCCAAATTAAAAAATAGTTTTCTGCCTCAGTGAATTTCATTTTCAGAAAACAGTGAAGCCTGAAATATATGTATGGAAGCTTTTCTAACATGGGAAAAGTGAGTTTAAAAGGCTTCAAAAACTCTGGAAAAGTAAAGTCTACTGTTTAAAAATTTTCATGCTAGCCTTAAGGAAGAACGCAAGTTTTAGCAAATAAAAAATACTTACTGCTCGGTTTCCATTTGTTCCTCTTGCTTGCGTTTTCGATCTGCTGCTTCTTTCTCATGTTGGCCCTTCAGCAGATTCCTCCTGTGAGCAGTCTGAAAGTTTCTTCCACCCTTTCTCTTCTGTTTTATTTGAGAATTAGGACTTGGGTAAGTATTTAGTCAGTGACTAGTATAGTAGCACTAGTTAAAACTTTGTTGAGGGGAAGTAATTTTTAGGGAGAAATACTTTTATAACTGTGGACATAATAGGCAACTTTTTGTCCAGGCATGTATATGATTGCTTTTAAAGTACAGCAGACTATCTGACTCAGTGCAGTGTTTTAATTTGAATAGGCATACTACTCAGCTAAAATTTTTTGGTTTCTAAAATATTAAGATATGAGACAAAGTGGGCTGGGAAGGTGGCTCATGGTAGAGTGCTTGCCTAGCATGCATGAGGCCCTGGATTTGATTCTCAGCACCCCATAAGCAGAAAAAGCCGTTAGTGGTGCTGTGACTGTAGTGGTAGAGCGCTAACCTTGAGCTGAGGGACAGTGCCCTGGCCCAATGTTCAGGCCCCACAATTGACCAAAAAAGAAAAGAAAAATTAAGAAAGGAAGGACACAAGGGGCTGAGAAGGTGGCTCAGTAGTAGAGTGTTTGCCTTGCATGCATGAGACCCTGGGTTCAATTCCTCAGTACCACACAAGCAGAAAAAAAAAAAGTGGCGCTGTGGCTCAAGTGGTGGAGCCTTGAGCTGAAGAACTGAGGGACAGCGCCCCGTCCCAGACTTCAGGCCCCAAAACTGGACCAAAAAAAAAAAAAAGACAAAAATCAAAAAGGGGATGATACAGTGAGAGGCTAAATGATCCACGTAACTCAACTGAGCAATTGTACACATAAATGGACATGTTAAATTGAAACCCCCTCAACAAATAAAACATGTATCTGTGACTTGGATCTATACATTCTGAAGGCTAAGCACAAAATTGTGGGGGTTTTGTGTGTGCATGTTTTTAAAAAACAAAAGGATACATAGCTTTTTAGTTGTTGGTCATGGGGCTTGAACTCAAGGCATGGGCACTGTTCCTGAGCTTTTTCAGTCAAGGCTAGTGCTCTACTACTTTGAGTCACAACTCTACATCTGGTTTTCTGATAGTTAACTGGAGAGAAAAGTCTCATAGACTTTCCTGCCCAAGGTGGCTTTGAACATCCCACCTGAGTAGCTGGGATTACAGATGTGAGCTACTGGTCCCCGGCTGACACATGGCTTTAGTAAGATTCCTGAATGGCATCCACATAGTTACACATCACTGATATAACAGGAATGAGGAGGAGGATTTCCTAGGCTTGAGGCTTAGCTAGCAAATATAAGGCCACAAGTTCAAAGACAATACTACAAAATAAAACAACAAAACTACATAAATATACCTTTTAACCTTTGTTGTCCTGGTCACAGCCAACTTGACTTAGTTCTAGTGGTTTTAGGTAAGTAGATTATTGGAACATTTCCAAATCATAATTATGGAAGGGCAAGTTCAATTTAGAATCAAATATAAAGGAAAAAGTTTTTTTAATGTCTATTCAGAAATAGACCCAGGTTAACTTTTGTAAAAACAGTAAAAGCTTTCCAGGTAAAGATTAAAAACTGCATCAGAAACCCAAAAATAATTTTTATATGGTATATAAACATTCTACCTTTTCACCTTCTTGATCATCTCCTTCTTCTTCAGAATCAGATGTTGAAGTAACGCCTGTTTTAGCTAAATTTTTTCTTTTTGATTCAACTTCTTTCTTTCCTTCCTTTTTGTCTGGTTCTTTTCTTGGTTTATCTTCTTCCTTCTGTCCTTCTTCATCCTTTTTAAGCTGCTTCTTAGGTGGTTTTTCCTCTTGCCCCTTTTTCTTACTTTTGTCTTCCTCGGGGATCCTATTTTTAAGAGTCCAACAATGGAAAGTGAGTTTGTCTTTCATCTGAATTTGTCATCAAGTATTTCAGAAATGAATTATAGCAACACTGCTATGTAAAAACAAACACCTTCATGTAAAATGGTGTCGTACCAGATCATAGAAGAATACTGTAACAAAATAGCCTCTTGGTATAAATTAAAACATTTAAGATTATAGAGACACTAAGGTTGATACAGAGCTCTCCACTTTCCAAGCTTCTTTTAATATAATTCATTTGTTCAGAAAAATAGTAAGTTCCTTGTGCACCAAGGAACTGTTTTTAATCCTAGGATAAACTGTTCTTTCGGTGCTGGGAATTGGAAACAGGCCCTTGTGTATGCTAGGCACATGTTCTTCCACCAAGATTCACCCAGCTTCAATTTATGGAGTTATATTCTATATATTTGTACAAGTGAGTATTGCCTTAAAAGCTGGGAAAAAAATAAAACTGTAGAAGTGAAATCTAACACAACTATCTTAAAATTCAAAGAAATACTCTTGGGTTTTTTTTTTTTTTTTTTTTTTTTTGTCGGTCGTGGGGGCTTGAACTCTGGGCCTGGGCGCTGTCCCTCAGCTCTTCAGCTCAAGGCGAGCGCTCTACCACTTGAGCTACAGCGCCACTTCCGGTTTTCTGGTGGTTTATTGGAGATAGGAGTCTCACGGTCTCTCCTGCCCGGGCTGGCTTTGAACCGCGATCCTCAGATCTCAGCCTCCTGAGTAGCTAGGATTACAGGCGTGAGCCACCAGCGCCCGGCTTTGGGTTTTTTTGAGGTATTAGGACTTGAACTCAGGGCCTCACATTTGCTAGGCTAGTACTCTACCATTTGAGCAACCTTCAGCCCTCAAAGAAATGGTCTTAAGCATATAATGGTAACTATGGCTAGTCAGTTAAAGCACAGTATCTAACAGTGGTGAGCAGAATAGCAACCAAGTATTCCATGAGCACTTGATTTCATAAACATCACTAAAAAATTACTGACTGCTTTAGTATTTAATCACTGCTCGCTAATGTTTATGCAAATTTGAACAGCAGACAGAAGCTCTAGGAACATCAAATGAACTATATGCTAACATATCCATGGCATTTATGCATAATTAGAGTAGTTCCTTTGTACACATTTCAACTTAATGCCTTTTTAAAAAACTGTCCATGGAATTTTATTAAAATTTCCACAAATTATACAATTAAACCAATGAATTTTAGAGCTGAAAAGGACCCCTAGTTGCTTCCACACTTGAAAACTTAGAAAAAAAGTTGCAAAAGTTGTATAATAAGCCCAATAATCTCAATTCCAAATCTACTGACCTCAAGGGCGTTTGATATTACTTCTGGTGGATGCTAAGGACCAAGCCCAGGGCATCTCATGTATGCTAAATAAGCACTCTATAACTGGACTAGGTGTCAGTTATTTAAAGCATAAATCTAAGCCAGGTGCCAATATCTATACTCCTAACTATTCCGGAGACTGAGACCTGAAGATTGCTATTTGAATCCAGCCCAGGCAGGAAACGTCTGAGAAACTCTTATCTCCAATTAAACCCCCACACCCCCCAAAAAGCTGGACGTTGAGCTGTGGCTCAAATGGTGCAGTACTAGCCTTAAGCACAAAAGTTCAGGGAGAGTGCCCAGGCCCAAGTTCAAGCTCAAGGATGCCTGCCCCCTCTTCAAAGCATAAATCTTTACAATTATAATACCTATACACCAAAATATGTAGCATTTTAAGTGACTTTTAGGCCTATGTCTCAAAATTCTGAAGCTGGATTATAGCTCATTGTTATAACAGTACATGTTTCAACAGGTATGAGATGAACCTAGGGTTTGATCTTATAACCACCAAAAAAGTTAAGTTAGGTGTGGTCATCCGTGATTGTAGTTCCAGCTAGTCCAGGTGAGTTGAGACAGGATCATTTGTGCCCAGGATTTTGGGATCAACCTGAGCAACATAAAATACTATCATAAGATCATAAGAGATTGTTTTTCAAGGTTTTTACAAACCGTATTAAAGCAAAGAATTCAGTACATCATCAACTGCTTTTTCCAAATGATCCTTCTTGCCACACCTTCCCTGAATTAGACTCATGAACATTTCTCTTTGTGTTAGTTCAAGTGATACTAATAAAAATTAATTTGATTATCTTTGTACTAGTTCGTTATACTAATAAAATTAGTTTGATTATGTCAATTTAAAAACAAACCCAAATACTCCATGGCACCAGGATCCAGCGGCTCACATTAGTAATCCTAGCTACTTAGGAGGCTGAGATCTGAAGATTATAGTTTGAAACAAGCTGGGCAGGAAAGCCAAGGACACTCTTACCTGCAACTAGTAGCACCAAAAAAACTGGAAGTGGAACTGTGACAAGTGGTCGAGTGTAGCCTTGAGAGACTACACAGGTTCTGAGTAGTTATGCCAAGGACACCCCTCAACACACCCAAAGATCTCAGTAACTTACAACCAATATTTCTCAATTTCTAAATCTAGCCTTTTATTCCACTTAGTGCCCAAATTTACAATCAATAGTAACTATGGCCAACATCCAGCTAACTCAAGATGTAATGTTGTAAGCTATTGGATTTTAGGATTATTTAGTCTAAACAAAACAAAACCTCACTATAGGGCCTGAAAACTTTAGCTACTTGAAAAGTTGTAACAGGATTAAGGTTTGAGACCAGCCACAAGATTAAAGAGTAACCCTATCTGAAAAATAAGGAGAACATGAGATGTGAATACTGCAGTTCCTAAGCAATCAGGGAAGAAAAGTCCAATTATCTTATCTCCAATTAACTACCAAAAAGCCAGAAGTGGAGCTGTGGCTCAAGTAGCAGAGTACCATCTTTGAGTGAAAAGCTAAAGACAGGAGAACCAAGGTCCCCCAGTTCAAGCCTCAAAAATTGTTTTTGTTAAAACCAAAGTAAATCCTTTAATTCTAGCTGAGACAAAAATTTAAGACCTTAGCTCAGAAAAATGTTAAAAAAACAAAAGCCCTAGGGCTCAAATGGAAAGGTAGAATACTGGCAGGAGGAGGCCCTGAGTTCAAGCCCCAGTAACACAAAATACTAAATTTTGCTCTCAAAACTAATAACACAATCAAAAAATCTAAAATATGCCATTCACTATGGATTAGATAAAATGGAAATCCTCATTTATTAATTTTTTTCAATGCTGTTTATTCAACTCAGGTCCTCATGCAGGCTGAGCAAATGTTCAACTAAATGAGCTCCCGAACTACCCCTCCTTGGCTCCTTTAAAAAAAAAATTTTGGGGGGGTGGGTGGGGGGTCAATAGTGGGGCCTGAGCTCCGGGCCTGGACTCTGTCCCTCAGCTCTTCAGCTCAAAGATACCACTCTACCACTTGAGCCACAGCACCACTTCCAGCTTTTTCTGCTTATGTGGTACTTAGGAATTGAACCCAGGGCCTCATGCATGCAAGGCAAGCATTCTACCACTGAGCCACATTCCCAGCCCTCCTGAGCTACTTTACAAAGATATTATTCCATCAGTAAAACCAGAGCTTTGAGATGTATTCAGCCCTCATGGCTTGGGATGATTAAAATTAGACTATTGATAGCTTGAATCAGCTTAACTAGATCATCACCAGGCTTTTTAAAAAAGAGTGAGAGGCTGGTAAGGTGGCACTTGCCTTGCATGCATGAGGCCCTGGGTTCGATTTCTCTGCACTAAATAAGCAGAAAAAGCGGGAAGTGGTACTATGTATGGTTCAAGTGGTAGAGCGCTAGCCTTGAGGTGAAGAGCTGAGAGACAGCACCCAGGCCCAGAGTTCAGGCCCCACAACCAACCAAAATAAAAAAAAAAGATTTGTTAAAGAATAGTTTCTTTTTTTTGCCAGTCCTGGGGCTTGAACTCAGGACCTGAGCAACGTTCCTGAACTTCTTTTGCTCAAGATAAGCACTCTACCACTTGAAGCCACAGTGCCATTTCCAGCTTTTTCTGTGTATGTAGTACTGAGAAATCAAACCCAGGACTTCATGCATGCTAGGCAAGCACTCTACCATTACGCCACATTCACAGCCCAACTGTTTCAAGATCATAAAGAATATAGGATTTTTAAATTCAGTCTGGTGTCAGAGTTCAGATCAAGGATATGACTGTCAGATTTAATTCAAAATGGGCTGGCTTAATTTTTCATGGTTCCTAAGGGCTGATTTCTCATAAAAACCTATAAATTCAACGTATCTATAATTAAAGTACAAAAAGATAAGCACATCTGAGGATACCTTACAAATGAGACCATTGTCAAGGAAGCTGACCAAAATAATAATAATGAAGTCGTGTACTACCAAAAATGACACCAGTTTGTATCAAGAGCAAGTGAGCTCTCAATAAGAAACACTCCCCAGTTTGTATCCAGAGAAAATGAACACTGGGCTGAAAAAACTATTCAGTGGATAAGAGAAATGTTTTCCTACATGTCAGATGCAACTCTAGATGATAGTGAAAAAGCAGAGAATCTCCACAGGAATCAGCATGGTCATGATATAGCATACTCCCAAGGAAAAACAAGATTCAACCAGGAAATGCTAAAATAGGAAGACCATATATTCCTAGAATTTAAGATTTCCTTCCTATAAGTGACTGTTATCTACTACAATCTCACTGCAGTCATCAAACCATATTGCTCTTTTTTTTTGGAGGGGGGCGGCGGGAGAGGGGTCGGTTGTGGGGACTGAACTTGGTCTGGGCGCTCTCAGCTCTTCAGCTCAAGGCTAGTGCTCTACCACTTGACCCACAGCACCACTTCTGGTTTTCTGGTGGTTATTGGAGACAGTCTTCCCTGCCCGGGCTAGCTTTCAATCGTGATCCTCAGATCTCAGCTTCTTGAGCAGCTAGGATTACAAGCGTGAGCCACCAATGCCCAGCATTTCAAAAGTATTTTTATTTTTTAGTCAGTTGTGGGTCTGAACTCTGGGCCTGGGCGCTGTCCCTCAGCTCTTCAGCTCAAAGCTAGTGTTCTACCACCTGAGCCATAGTGTCACTTCCAGCTTTTTCTGCTTATGTGGTGCTGAGGAATCGAACCCAGGGCCTCATGCATGCAAGGCAAGCATTCTACCCCTGAGCCACCTTCCCAGCCCTTCCATACTGTTTTTAAATAAGTCACCTATTCCAGAGAATCTGAAAGGACTGGTGGTGAACATTGCATTACGAAATTCTTCAGCATATTATTTTACCAAAGTAAATTTATATCTTTATATACCAAGAAAATCAATTAGTCCAATAAAGATAAACAGATTTTTATTCCCTACCAGTTTTCATTCTTTTCAAAAATTTTTGTTTCCCCTACCCCATAATTTTTCAAAGTATCAAAATAGTAACACAATAGCAATAGAGCAATACTCTATAAAACAAGGAAAAAACTGGTAAAAATGAAAAGTGATCAATGTATATTTAAAGTCCAAGTTTTAATTTATTAAGTAATTATACATTAAAATAAACTCACATGTCACTCTCTGAAGGACAGGGCTGTTTTACCATTTTAGGTCTGCCTCTTGGTTTTGGAATCTTGACTTCAGTGGCTAATATTCATGTGGGGAAAAAGACCATTACCAATTTCCCTTTAAAATTGCAAATATCACATAGAATGATTACAAATGATACATACTATATATATTTATTTAGCAGATTACAGATTCAATTACTTTCAAGTTTTAGAAACAATGTCGTACTACGGATCAAATGAGAAACAGTAAACAATTTATAGATATGGAGTTATATTCGAATTGTCCTTAGTAAGTCTGAGAGGGTTTAAAACATTTTTAATTGCTATTTTAGCAGCAACAAAACTCAATTTCAGGAAGTTATCATTTATAATTAACACTCATGTACATATCATATATATTTACACAAATATCTTTGGAAGTGAATCAGAACTCACTTTCCTAACACAATTTAATACAAGAATGAATTCCAAAATATTACATAAGTAAATCTCAATCTTTTTGTTCACTTTCTAGTAAACACAAACTAGTATGGCATATATGATGTCAATAGGCCATATAACCTTAATGGAATCACTGTGGTATATGTGGTCTGTTGTTAACTTTTTTCAGTAAAAATCTTATTATGAAGTAGAAAAAAAACAGTTCTATTTTGGCTAGGTTTTATTTCCTTCATATTAGTCAAGAGCTTTTCAAGATCATTTCCAATTTGACAAAGAAAATACTAAGCTGGGTACTGATGGCTCATGCCTGTAATCCTAGCTACTCAGGAAACTGAGATCTGAGAATCGAGGTTTGAAGCCAGCCAAGGCAGAAAAGTCCATGAGACTCTTATCTCCAATGAACTACTCAGAAAAAGCTGGAAGTGGAGGTGTGGTTCAAGTGGTAGAGCACTAGCCTTAAAACACAAAGAGGCCCAGGGACAGCAACCAGATTGTTCAAGGAGCAGGAAGGAAGGGAAGGAGGGAGGGAAGGGAGGGAATACAAAGCATATTATGAATATACAAATAATAGACTAAAGTAATTAAAATATTAACTACTAAGCATATTATATATATGAACACAAAATACAGTAATTACAAATCTTAACAGCAGTTAAAACACATGCTGTTTTTCATTCTTTATGACTCCATTTGGAAATCTTACATCTCTCTATAAGTAATAGGTAAAAAAAATACATTATTCCTAGAAGTTTTAACTTCCTAACAGACTCACTTAAAATGATTTGGTAAAGATTTAATGGGGGCAAAACAAAGAATTATTTCAAACTCAAATGTTCTGTCTAAAAGCAGAAACCGAGATCTCCTTTGGAATTATTACATTACAGTCTTATACTGACTATATTTTTGTCAAACACAGATTACATATACAATAGTGGTTCTCTAAGATTATATGACCTACTGATGTTACAGTCCATCCTAGTTTTAAGTACATTTAATATATTTTCACAGCAAAGGAATTGCCTAATGACTCACTTTTCAAACACCATCTATATCCATGTCAATAAGTTAACCCAATGGCTATGATCAACTGCTTATTCACTTAATTTGAAAACACCTGAGGTAGCCAACACTGTAAAGAATTAGAATATTAATCACAAACCAAACGAATACGTAAGCATGGATAATCCTACCTGCAGGCCGTCCTCGTTTAGGACTCACTTTCAGATTAACAGACGCTGTTGCTGTTGTCACTATTCCTGCCTCCTCAGGTTCTACTTGTTTTTCTGCCTGAATCATAAAGATGTAAATAAGCTTACTTAATAAACAGTATAAATTCAAAACTTACTTCAATGCTAAAAAATGCCACGCTGATAACAAGTATAGACATAATTTCTATATCACCTTTATATTTAAATTATTAGAATGAATTGCTTAAACTTTGCTTGTAACTCCAGTGAACATTTCTTTTTTGGTGGTACTGGAGGTTATATTCAGGGCCTTGTTCTTGACTAGGCAGGTGCTCAATCACGTGAGCCATTCCCAAAGACATTTTTGTGTTGATTACAGTTGAAATGGTGTCTTCCTTTATGTGCCAGCCTGCAGCTGTGGCTCAAGTGATAAAAGGGCTTGGCTTGAGTGAAAAAAAGCTAAGGGATAGAGTCCTAGTTCTTGAGTTCAAGATTTAGTATTGGTGTACACACACACACACAAATTCTCAATCTAAAAAACAGCAAAGTGTATGTAATGTAATGTGAGACTCATACAGTGGTATTTGTAATTGTTAATATATATACTTTATGTAATATATATATATATATATATATATATATTTTTTTTTTTTTTTGGGTCCGGTCGTGGGGCCTAAACTCTGGGCCTGGGCGCTGTCCCTCAGCTCTTCAGCTCAAGGCTAGCGCTCTACCACTTGAGCCACAGCACCACTTCCGGCTTTTTTCTTTTTGCTTATGTGATGCTGAGGAATCAAACTCAGGGCCTCATGCATGCAAGGCAAGCGCTCTACCACTGAGCCACCTTCCCAGCCCCTACATATATATTTTTTTGGGGGGAGAGGGAGGGGGGCGGTCCGGTCGTGGGGCCTGAACTTTGGGCCTGGGCGCTGTCCCTCAACTCTTCAGCTCAAGGCTAGCACTCTACCACTTGAGCCACAGCCACTTCCGGCTTTTTTCCTTTTGCTTATGTGGTGCTGAGGAATGGAACCCGGGGCCTCATGCATGCAAGGCAAGCGCTCTACCACTGAGCCACCTTCCCAACCCAAACATTTCTCTTTATGAGAAAATTAGTCTTAACTCTTAAGGGAGTTAAGTCTCAGTTAAAAATAATATATACATGGGCTGGGAAGGTGGCTCAGTGGTAGAGCGCTTGCCTTGCATGCATGAGGCCCCGGGTTCCACTCCTCAGCACCACATAAGCAGAAAAACCTGGAAGCGGTTCTGTGGCTCAAGTGGCAGAGCACTAGTCTTGAGCTGAAGAGCTGAGGGACGGCGCCTAGGCCCAAAGTTCAGGCCCCATGACCCACACATACACACAAAAAATGTAACCATCGAAGAGCTAGGTCCCATTCTCTAACTATACTCCTCATCAATTAGACCAACAAAAATAAGAGCAAGAAAGTGTTCTGAAACCTGTACAATCAAAACCCCTTAGTAAAAAAAATAAAAAAACTGGTTTTTTATTTATCTGCTTTTGCTTTCACATTGGAACATTAAGGCATGTTCGAAATATTAAAATTCATCTAAGGTAGTCCTACAAATATTCCTTCATAACAAGCTTCACAATTTATGAGACCACCTTTCCACATCCCAGTCCTGATTGGTAAGTTCTTTTTTTTGGGGGGGGAAGGGAGGGGGCGGTCATGGGCCTTGAACTCTGGGCCTGGGCGCTGTTCCTCAGCTCCTCAGCTCAAGGCTGGTGTTCTACCACTTCAGCTACGATGCCACTTCCGGTTTTCTGATGGTTTATTGGAGATAAGAGCTTCACGGACTTTCCTGCCCAGGATAGCTTTGAACTGCGATCCTCAGATCTCAGCCTCCTGAGTAGCTAGGATTACAGGTGTGAGCCACCGGCGCCCAGCTATGATTGGTAAGTTCTGAATTAGGGAACCAGCCACTCAAATTTTTCAAAGCTCTTCCTGGGGCTGGGAAGGTAGCTCAGTGGTAGAGTGCTTGCCTTGTACACATGAGACCCTGGGTTCGATTCCTCAGCACCAAATAACCAGAAAAAGCAGGAAGTGGCGCTGTGGCTCAAGTGGTAGAGTGCTAGCCTTGAGCTGAAGAGCTAAGGGACAGCACCCAGGCCCAGTGTTCAAGCCCCACAACCGAGAGGGGGAAAAAAAAAAGCTCTTCCTGATCTGGTGAGAGGGCAGTTAAGTTCTTCAGAGTAAAAATAACTCACAATATCTCCCCATTTATTAATGGGATGTCTAATGTCCTATCTTCCATTTATCTTAAAGCCTTTCCACACACAAAAACCTCATAGAACTACTGTTCATATATTTCCTCAAGCTCTTTGCACACTTCATTGTGTGACAAATCCCCCAAAGAAGATTACTATGAATTTGCACCTTGTTATTCCTAAGATGCTGAACACTACTGGGGAATATGCTTCTCTTTCATTATACATCAGAATTAGGGTCTCAAAGCCATCCGTTATACTCTTTTGCCAAATCTTATCTCAGGCCCTGAATAGCTAGCATAAACTTCTACCATTCTACCTGCCTGCAGCCACAGAAAGTGAGTAAGAAGGGGAGAACTGAGGCCAGAGAAATTTTCAAATTTTCCTAGAATTTGTGTGTATGTGTATGTATGTGTGTATACTGGGTGGGGCTTTAAATTCAGGACTTTGTGCTTTCATTTAACTTTTTTCATTCACTTGAGCCACACCTCCAGGACAGCATTTTGCTGGTTAAATTAGTGATAAAATCCTCTGCCCCTCTGGATTTGAACCATAATCCTTAGATCTCAGCCTCCTAACTAGTTAGGATTACAACTGTGAACCACCAGCAAGCAACTGCCTCTCCCTAGACTATCTCCTCAGAACCTCACTATGTTAAAGAAGTTACCCACACCTCTGTTTTCTCAAATTAAAGGCTAACACATCTCTCCCTTCTTCATCAATTCTCTCATATGTGCTTCTTTTTTCTCTAATCCAGCATATACTTAAGTATTTCTAAGAACTCAATCCACATCCTCAATCTTTCCTAAGTTCTGTAAAGAAAGATGTTAAAACATCTACTTTATTTTTTCACTCTAAATACTTTACCTATGCAAATCCCTATATTGCTACATTACCATGTAGTGATATCTGATAGAAGTTTGCCCACAGAACTTTCAAAATTGGTATCATCCATTCAAATTCTGCCACTGGTTTATCAATGAATACATGGTTAATAATAATTAGTTACTATTACTAAATTACAATTTAATATAAATCAACAACTTTTAATTATTCTAAATCCTTTCTTCAATACCATAGTACCTTCATCAATAAATTCCATTTCAAGAAACCACTTTCTGCCGGGCGCTGGTGGCTCACGCCTGTAATCCTAACTACTCAGGAGGCTGAGATCTGAGGATCGCGGTTCAAAGCCAGCCCGGGCAGGAGAGACCGTGAGACTCTTATCTCCAATAAACCACCAGAAAACCGGAAGTGGCACTGTAGCTCAAGTGGTAGAGCACTCGCCTTGAGCTGAAGAGCTGAGGGACAGCGCCCAGGCCCAGAGTTCAAGCCCCACGACCGACAAAAAAAAAAAAAAAAAGAAACCACTTTCTTTGCTCATTTTTTTTGGTAGGTCATGGGGCTTGAACTCTGGGCTTGGGCACTGTCCCTGCGCTGTTCAGCTCAAGGCGAGCACTCTACCGCTGAGCCATTGCGCCATTTCCGGTTTTCTAGTGGTTTATTGGAGATAAGAGTCTCATGGACTTTCCTGCCTGGGCTGGCTTTGAACCATGATCCTTAGATCTCAGCCTCCTGAGTAGCTAGGATTACAGGCGTGAGCCACCAGCACCTGGCTTCTTTGCTCATTCTTAAGGACAGGCATGAAACAATCTCACAATATATTTCCATTACTAGGACAACCAAGTACACTGTCGATGAACGTATTTTGAAACTCATTTTTTTTTTTTCCTGAGCAACAGGACTCAATGCTGAGCTTTAAATACTCAGAAACTAGCCGGGCGCCGGTGGCTCACGCCTGTAATCCTAGCTACTCAGGAGGCTGAGATCTGAGAATCGCTGTTCAAAGCTAGCCCGGGCAGGAAAGACCATGAGACTCCTATCTCCAATAAAACACTAGAAAATCGGAAGTGGCACTGCAGCTCAAGTGGTAGAGTGCTCGCCTTGAGCTGAAGAGCTGAGGGACAGTGCCCAGGCCCAGAGTTCAAGCCCCATGACCGACAAAATAAATAAATAAATAAATACTCAGAAACCATGTCATAAATTACTGTTGTCATAAATTAAACTTCAGTCACTAGCTCCACTGGACTAACAAAAGTCAGAGAATTAGCCTGTTCACAATTTTAAAGGCAACCACTTACTTCTCTCTAATTTTAAGTACTAGAAGGCAACTTCTTCCAATGTAAGGATATTTCCTGAAAATCTTTTGTGTAGACACTTTCTTCAACAACTTAGCTAGATCTTCTGGATAAATTCCTGTGCTTTGCTACTTTACCTTGTACTTTAGGGAGACATAAAAATAATTTATGGAGACAGCTCCTTTCCATAAACCTTTGAACAAACTTTTGCTAGCTACAATCTGTTCTGCATCTGCCTTTGCAGAATTAATGGTACATTAATGGGTTAAATTTGACTTATGGAAGCACTGCAGGCAGCTGGCTTTATTTCCCCCTCTTCCCCCCCAGGGCCTGGGCTCTGTCCCTGAACCTCTCTGTGCTCTACTGAAGCCACAGTGACACTTTCAGCTTTTTCTGTTTATGTGGTACTTGAGGAATCCAACCCAGGGCGGCTTCATGCATGCTAAGCAAGCACTCTATCCCTAAGCCACATTCCCAACCCTGGCTTTATCTTCTACTGGAACACTACAACTGTCTTCATGACAAGTAGTAAGTTTGTTTCACTTTCTTATCATTCCTGCATTATTTAATTCCCTTCAACATCTTTTAGCATTCACAACTTCACTTACCACCCAAGAAGCCAAGTTTTCAACCTATCTTAACTTTCAACATGGCTTCCTCACTAAACCATTTCTAACTTCTGAACATCTAGAGGAGGGTTATTCATTGGACTTTCTGTGTTTCTGGGAATTACAAGAGCCAAGGAAAGGGAGAGACTGGGAATGGCCAGTAGGGGGAGCAATAAGAACACAAGTCAACTAAGTTTTCTGTCACACATTGGACATGATGTGTGGTAACAAAAAACAAATCATAAACAACATAAAAGATAGCTGGGTGCCAGTGGCTCAAGCCTGTAATCCTAGCTACTCAGGAGGAGGCTGAGATCTGACGATCGAGGTTCAAAGCCAGCTTGGCAGAAAAGTCTGTGGATTCTTATCTCCCATTAACCATCAGAAAATCGAAGTGGCTCTGTGGCTCAAGTGGTAGAATGCTTGCCTTGAACTGAGGGACAACACCCAGGCCCAGAGTTCAAGCCCCATGACCAACCGCCCCTCCCCCCCCAAAAGAACATAAAAGATGACTGATAGCAAACCACCAGAATAGATACTACAGAAAGTTTGAAATACTAAGAAAATTAACAAAGTGAGGGAGACACAAAGTGAGCACATGGAATTGGAAACCAGGTACTAATAAATAACTTGCCCTGGGCTGGGAAGTTGGCTCAGAGGTAGACGCTTGCCTTGCATGCATGAGGCCCTGGGTTCGATTCCTCAGCACCACATAAGCAGAAAAAAAAAAGCCGGAAGTGGTCTGTGGCTCAAGTGGTAGAGTGCTAGCCTTGAGCTGAAGAGCTAAGGGACAGCACCCAGGCCCAGAGTTCAGGCCCCACGACCAGACCAAATAAATAAATAAATAAATAACTTTGCCCTATGCACATTTGCCATAAACTTTGCTTCTAAGTACCACTTTGTACTGCAAAGTACAATAAAGCAAAGTGAGACAGAGATAAATTATCTCTAACCTCAACAAAAGTTGAGATTCAGCTATAATAATGGCTCACATCTGTAATCCTAGTAACTCAAGAGACTAAGATCTAAGGGTTTTTTTGGTCGGTCATAGGGCTTGAACTCTGAGCCTGAGCGCTGTCCCTCAGCTCTTCAGCTCAAGATGTGCGCTCTACCACTTGAGCTACAGCGCTACTTCCGGTTTTCTGGTGGTTTATTGGCGATAAAGAGTTTCATGGACTTTCCTGCCCACTCTGGCTTTGAACCACAATCCTCAGATCTCAGCTAGGATTACAGGCGTGAGCCACCAGCGCCCGGCTAGATCTAAGGTTTGTGGTTTGAAGCCAGCCCAGGCAGGAAAGCCACTGAGCCTCTTATTTCCAATAAACTACCAAAAACTAAAAGAAACAGAACTGTGGCTCAAGTGGTATAGGGCTAGACCTGAGCAAAAAAGCTCTAAGACAGTGCCCAGTTTAATTCCCATAACTGGCATTTTCACGCCCAAAACAATGTAATTCAATGAAAATAGAGACCTAGGCTGGAGAAGGTAGCTCAGTGGTAGAGTGCTTGCCTTGCATGCATGAGGCCCTGGGTTTGATTCCGCAGCACCACATAAGCAGAAAAGGCCAGAAATGGTGCTGTGGCTCAAGTGGTAGAGTGCTAGCCTTGAGCTGAAGAGCTGAGGGACAGCGCCCAGGCCCAGAGTTCAGGCCCCACAACCGATCAAAAAAAAAAAAAAAAAGAAAAGAAAAAATAATAGAGACCTATCATCCTTTTTCACTGTATTCACTGTACACATCCAGCAAATTGTGTTGCTGCCCAATCCCTACTATTACATTGATTTAATAAAGGGGACATCTAAAATTCAAAGGAATTGAATGGTTTCCTATCAGTTCTCTAAGCTCTAGTCCTTCACTCAAGATAGCATTAGGTTTTTACACATTCTCTTTACAAATCTGTTAATATCTGGATGCCGGTGGCTCACACCTGTAATCCTAGCTACTCGGGAGGCTGAGATCTGAGGATCGTGGTTCAAAGCCAGCCCGGGCAGGAAAGACCGTGAGACTCCTATCTCCAATAAAACACTAGAAAACCAGAAGTGGCACTGCAGCTCAAGTGGTAGAGCGCTCACCTTGAGCTGGAGAGCTGAAGGACAATGCCCAGGCCCAGAGTTCAAGCCCCATGACCAACAACAAAAAAAAAATCTGTTAATACTGAAATGCAATACTGAACTCAAAATGCGCACAATTCTCTCTACAAAACTAGATATACAATTTGAATTTCCCCAGATCTCATTCTCCATTCTTCATTGGTACACTTTGTAGCAGGCAAGTATTGAATTTGTCTCTTCCCACATATACAACAGAAGATAAAAAGTCATCTTAATTATGTCCTTGTACTTAACTTCCCCATGAGATAAAGAACTCATTTTTCTTTGCACCTTTGATATATAAAAATCTGAGCCATAAATTATGTCAGAAATAGAGGCAAACAAAATTTCATGTAAGAAGCCATTAGAAGCCAACAAACCTCTAGGCCTACATTGTCACTTCTATTTCTCATTATACGCAATGTTGTGAGAATTAACAATAACATAATAGGGACAACAAATATAGCGTGTACCAGTATTTAGTGATCAGGATTTATTATAAACACTTTTCAAATATTAAGTCATCAACACTACATATTACTATATGTTTTATAGAGAAAACTGAGGCAGCCATAAAGATTAAAATTGGTTCACTCTATTTCCTTTTATCAATCAATAGAGTGTCGGCAGATACAGTACTTATTCTAAGAGTATATCACTAAGAAGAGTTTTGCAAAGTAAACATCATATCCTATCCTTTAAAAAAAAGTTTCATGAAGGATTCCTATTGTTAAGGAAATTACCTTTCTCTTTCTCCCTCTTCTGGCAGCTTTTGGAGTAGTTATGTCAACTGCTTTAGTCACATCCTTCAAAATAAAAAACAAAGTAGATGACACTATATAAATTATACCTTAATATACCAAGTCTAAAAGAAACTTTCTTAAAAGTCACAAAAATGCCTAATGCTAGTGGCTCACACACACCTGTAATCCTAGTCATTCAAGAGGAGATTGAGCCAGTCCAGACAGAAAAATAGGTAGCCAAATCTTTTTTTTTTTTTTTTGTCGGTCGTAGGGCTTGAACTCTGGGCCTGGGCGCTGTCCCTCAGCTCTTCAGCTCAAGGCGAGCGCTCTACCACTTGAGCTACAGCGCCACTTCCGATTTTCTGGTGGTTTATTGGAGATAGGAGTCTCACGGTCTCTCCTGCCCGGGCTGGCTTTGAACCGAGATCCTCAGATCTCAGCCTCCTGAGTAGCTAGGATTACAGGCGTGAGCCACCAGCGCCCGGCTAGGTAGCCAAATCTTTATATCCAATTAACCAGAAAAAAAAAAGCAGGAAGTGTTGGCATGGCTCAAGTGGTAGGGCACTAGATGTGAGCAGAAAGTTATCCAAGAGCACAAAGCCCTGAGTACAAGCCCCTAACACCAGCACCAAAAAAAGTGCACAAACATGTTTCACTAAGTATTGAAAAGTCTGTCCTGCTGCTCCAACCTTTCAAATAATAAACATTCAATGTCTTAAACATTATAAAGTAACAGCCAGTATCTTCCTGGTGGAAGAGGACAAATTTCCACAATTATCACGGATACAGAAAGTATGCTTAATAGTACACCAGAAATATGTCTATTCAGATTTATAAGATTATCTTTTTCTATAGTAAAACCCTTCCATGTCAGGATTATAAATTGTAAAAGATGGCTATGACTTCAGAAATCATCTAACAACCACTTTCTGAAGCCTAGAAGAGCTAAATGAATAACACTAACTCAGAAAATCAAAGGTGGAAATCAACAGGGGTTTTAAATTTTTCAGTCTACAAGTTCTTTCTGATATATCCAACTCATAAAGAACTTCTCTTTTAAAAAGAGACTTATGCCTATAATCCTAGCTATTCAGAAGGCGGAGATCTGAAGTTCTTGGGTTGAAGCCAGCCAGGAAGAAAAGTCCTTGACAGTCCCTCTCCAATTAACCAGCAAAAAAGTAGGCTGGAAGTATAGCTCAAGTGGCAGAGCACCAGCTCTGAGTGGAAAAAGCCAAGCAAGAACAATGCTTCCATAAGTCAAAAATTTAACCCATTAATGTACCATTAATTCTGCAAAGGCTGAGAGGTTGGACCTTATAACTCCAAACTTTTGCTAGCTTCAATCTGTTCTGCATATGTCCCACCTCCAGATAAATATCCTGCATCTAAAGGTATTTTATTTAACATTTACGTAAGGAAATAAGCCTCTAATATTATTCATTTTCACATATTTTAGAGATTATTTCCTACCTTATGATTAACTCCATTTTCTATTTCTCCCTTGCAATTAAACTATAAAATCCCTGTTAGAATGGAAAATAAACAAAACATACCTCATTGCTGGCTTTTTCTTCATGATCAGTATCTTCCTTTGAAACACTAGTTTCTTTTTCTTCAATTTCAACATCAGATGATGCATTTGATTGTTTGGCTGATGCCTATGCACAATAACTCTATTAGTTTCACAAAATGAAACTCTACCCAATTTAGAAAAGTTTCTCATGAAACAAAAGCTTGTCTACAGTAAATTTACATATCTCTAGTATAGACACTTGCACATCAATGTCCACTGCTGCACAACTCATAATATCCAAATTACGGAAACAGCTAAGATGCCCTATACTGGATAAGTGGACCAAGATAATGTGGTACAAATTTACAATGGAGTTTTATTCATCTTATCAAATGTCAGCAAAGAAAACATGGGCCAGCTTCCTTTTAGTATTTTTTTATTATTAAGATTTTTTGTTGTGAAAATACCATACAGAGGGGTTACAATTACTTGAGCAAGGTAATGTTTCTTATCAAGCATTGTTGCCTCCTCCTTTGTTTCTCCTTCCCATACCTGCCCTTCCATCTCCCCCATCCCTCTCCCCTACCCCCACCCACCAGCTTCTTGGCTCTGCTACTGTACAATATTTATGGGCTTTTCCTCAGCCATGAAGCTATCTGGACTATTTGCATTTGTGTAAATCCATTGCTGAATACTGTAACAAGCATGACCTTATTTCCTCTGGTACTCTACATATTACTGTGAAATTATAATTGTATTCTACATAGTTTGTGGCATTTAATCTTATTTATAGGGTAAGTACATAACTACACCAAAAAATAAAATTCTATGATTCTACATAATCTTCAGGAAACTGTTCTGGTCTGGCACTCACTATTCATGATGTTGAATAAGGGGAAAATGCTCTGAAACTCCTACCAGTGGATTGTTCATGCACTCTGCGAAATGGATTTTATGAGAAAAAACAGCTCAAGCATATGTATGCACCAGTGAATAATTCTGACTCCCAGAAGCCCATGATATTGAAATATGGTAACAAAAATCAACACATTTCCAGATGAGTCAGAGGAAGTCAAATTATTGTCTTGCTGTCTTAGTTCCACATTTATATTTTCAGTCACTGTTTTCTTCTATTTTTATGTGTTTTAAAATTACTATTCTAACTTCTTTTACAAGTAAATCATTTTTTTTCCCTTTGGTCAGTCATGAGCTGGGTGCTGTCTCTGAACTTTTTCACTCAAGGCTAGTGCTCTACCATTTTGAGCTATAGTACCACTTGTGGCTTTTGAGTGATTAATTGGAGATTAGAGTCTCCCAGACTTTCCTGCCCAGGCTGGCTTTGAACAGAGATTCTCATACCTCAGCTTCAAAAGTAGCTAGGATCATAGGTGTGAGACACTAGCACCCAGCTAAAAATTTTAAATATTACAGTATGAGTATCTTTATCAGAAAATTAAAAATGTTTCAAAATATTCAATTTTGAGCACAGATTCCCATTAGTGTAACAAATCCAACAAAATAATGTAAAAATATTCAGAAAACTAGTTGGGAAGGTGGCTCAGTGCTAGAGTGCTTGCCTTGCATGCATGAGGCCCTGGGTTCAATTCCTCAGCACCACATAAGCAGAAAAAGTAGGAGGAAATAGTGCTGTGGTTCAAGTGGTAGAGCACTAGCCTTGAGCTGAAGAGTTCAGGGACAGTACCCCGGCCCAGAGTTCAGGCCCCACGACCAAAAACAAAAAGAATGTCCAATTTGTTGCTATGTCATTTTTAGGTTTATTCATGTTCTTCCCAATTTTTACTATCTCAAGTCTTAATAAGTGGACTTTTATTGATGAATGAGAAGCTAAACTTCATAAAGACCTCCTCTCATAATTCTTTGGCCCTATTAGAAAAACCAGCATGGGGGCTAGGATGGTGGCTCAGTGGTAGAGCACTTGCTTGCTTTGCATGCCTGAGGCCCTGGGTTCGATTCCTCAGCACCACATAAAAAGCGGGGAGAAAAGAAAAAAGCGGGAAGTGGTGCTGTGGCTCAAGTGGTAGAGCGCTAGCCTTGAGCTGAAGAGCTGAGGGACAGCGCCCAGGCCCAGAGTTCAGGCCCCACGAGCAGACCCCAAAAAAAAAAAAAAAAGAAAAACTGGCATGATGATTATACATAGTAAGAATTCTAAGACTTCCATGTGACATGTGACAGTATTTAAATAGTTTGAGTGTAAGTGGAAAAATAGAGAAAAACATGTTTAAAATAGCATCAATACCAGGACAGAAAAAAAAAATGAAGAGAAACACATTAATTCCTATCGCAGAGAAAAAATACACAGATTGGGCAAAAAAAGTGTCAGGGGCTGGGAAGGTGGCTCAGTGGTAGAGCGCTTGTCTTACATGCCTGAGCCTCTGGGTTTGATTCCTTAGCACCACATAAGCAAAAAGAAAAAAGCCGGAAATGGCGTTATGGCTCAAGCGGTACAGCGCTAGCCTTGAGCTGAAGAGCTGAGGGACAGTGCCCAGGCCCAGAGTTCAGGCCCCCCGCCAAAAAAAAAAAAAATTAAAGAGAAAAAAAAACTCGGATACACGCTATAAAAATCCTGAACTGAAGCTGGGCGCCAGTGGCTCACGCCTGTAATCCTAGCTACTCAGGAGGCTGAGATCTGAGGATTACGGTTCAAAGCCAGCCCGGGCAGGAAAGTCCATGAGACTCTTATCCCCAATAAAATCCACTAGAAAACCGGAAATGGTGCAGTGGCTCAAGCAGTAGAGCGTGCTCACCTTGAGCTGAAGAGCGCAGGGACAGCACCCAAGCCCAGAGTTCAAGCCCCACTACCGACCCCTCCAAAAAAATATCTTGAACGGAACATAGCATATATGTATATATGTGAAATAACATGGCAAAATTCCTTTGTGTAATACACACTTAAAAAATGAATGATAGGAAAGTAATATAGGCTCTTCTGGGTGATCAGGTATAGCAGGAGGGAAGAAGGCCAAGGAGAGGGCAAATTAAGTACTTTACACATGTATGAAAACAGAATAAAACTTATTTTCAACGATTTGTATACATGTATGGAAATGTCTGAGAGCTAAGATAAAAATCTTTAAAAAAAAAAAAAGATAGTAGAGGGGCTAGGAAGGTGGCTCAGTGGTAGAGCGCTTGCCTTGCATGCCTGAGGCCCTGGGTTCGATTCCTCAGCACCACATAAGCAAAAAGAAAAAAGCCAGAAGTGGCGCTGTGGCTCAAGTGGTAGAACGCTAGCCTTGAGCTGAAGAGCTGAGGGACAGCGCCAAGCCCAGAGTTCAGGCCCCATGACTGGACCCAAAAAAAAAAAAAAAAGATAGTAGAAGCCAGGCACTGGTGGCTCACACCTGTAATCCCAGCTACTCAGGAGACTGAGATCTGAGGATCGAGGTTCAAAGCCAACCTGGGCAAAGGAAGTCCCTGAGACTCTATCACCAATTAACTACCAGAAAACTGGAAGTGGTGCTGTGGCTCACGTGGTAGAGCTCTAGCATTAAGCTGAAGAGCTCAGGGATGGTGCACAGGCCCAGAGTTCAAGTCCCACAACTGACAAAAAAAAGAAAGAAAGAAAAAAAAGACAGTACATATGGCTTTAAATCTAATATATTAAACTTTATTCTTAGGAGTAAATAACCAAGCATTTCTCAGTTTTCTGAGGTCTCTTTAGTAGTGTAATAATTCCAGTAGTTCATCTAGACATAAAAAGTCAAGGTTTATGCCATAAATAAGAACACAATTTAATCCAAAATTACTAAGACACTTAAATGCCATCTTATTTTCCTCTAGCTATGATGGTATTTTTTCCTCCAAGACTGAATAAATAATACTAAACTAAGTGGGTATCCAATGACTCACCTGTGCACTTGAAAATTTCACTTTTGGATTGTTATCTATCTCCCATAAGCCTTCATTGAAACCTTTTCGTTTATTTGGTTTGCCATACTTTTCCTTATTTTCTGAGTAAGGAAATATATCCTTTGGTCCTAAAAAAGCACTAAAACAGAAGAAGATAATAAGTGCAATGCAACCTCAAATAAATATATACATAGTACATTACTAAAATAACACTATTATATGATGCATTTTATAAAATACAAATTAAAGGGAAGACAAGGATATAAATAAAGCCTGATGAACTCATTTCAATGAACGCAATCTCACCAAGACATGAGAAGGCTCTAAGTACTGGCAGAACAAATGTTGGAAAAGTCTTTTTGGGGGGAGTACGTGTGCAGATATTGGGACTTGAACTCAGAGCCTCCCACTACTGCTTAGCTTTTTCACTCAAGGCTATAGTCACTCTACTACAGCCATAGTTCCACTTCCAGCTTGGAACACAAGAGAGCCACACAGACTTTTCTTCCCAGGCTGGCTTAGAATTTTGATCCTCATATCTCAGGCTGAATAGCTAGGAGTATAGGTGTGAAACACCAGCCACCTGGCTTCTAAAAGATTTTTAGGTTCCGTTTCTTTGTAGAACAATAAATGTTTTCTGTTTAGGGGTAGGGATAAGGTAGACTATATTTTACTCCAAATGCTACTGTTTTTTTCGTTTATAGTACTAAGGATTGAATCCAGGGTCTCACAGAAACAAGTCAAACACTAAACCACAGAACTACATGTCAATCTGATATACTTTATTAATTCAGTAATGAGTTCCTAGATCCATAACACCATCTCATTTACATAAACTTTTTTTTTTGGTACTGATCCTGGGCCTTGAACTCAGAGCCTGGGCGCTGTCCCTGAATTTTTGTGCCCAAGGCTACAGCTTTAGACCACTTGAGTCATAGCTCCACTGGTTACTGAAAATGGGATTCTCATGAACTTTTCTGTCCAGACTGGCTAAGAACCTCAATTCTCAGATCTCAGCCTCATGTGGCTATTTAGAGGCAGGAATCACCAGCACCTGGTTTCATTCAGTTTAATTGAACAGGCATTTCAGGCCCAGAGTTCAAGCCCCACGAACGACAAAAAAAAAACAAAAACTTCTCCCCCAAACTGGACAAAGCCAGACTGGGGAGAAAAAGAAATCACCAAGTCTGAATAACCAGCAAAGAGATGGTCTGGAAGCATGGTTCAAGTGGTAGAGAACCAGCCAAGCAAACGAACCAAGCTCAACGCCTCAAAGCTCAAGCTCAAACTCTAGTACTGTGAAAAAACAGAAAGTATCTAATTTAAACATTATATACTTCTAATTAAATATGAACAGATTTTCATGTCAGTAATTATTTAATACATTTTGCTAAATGTATCTATCAATCTATTGTTTGAGCACTTTTTCTGTGCCAATAGTGAGGGCTTGAACTCAAGGCAAGACTTCATATTCTTGCTGTCTTTTTTCTGCTCATAGCTGGTGTTCTATCACTTGAGTCACACACTCCAATCTGCTTTTCTGCTGGTTAACTGGGATTCCCAAGCACTTTTCTTTGGGCTTCAAACCAAGATACTCAGATCTCAGTTCTCCTAAGTAGCCAGGAGGCTGCAATATTTTAAGAGTCTGGGACCAGCGGCTCATGCCTGTAATCTAGCTACTCAGGAGACTCAGTCTGAGGATGTTGGTTTGAAGCCAGCCAAGCAGAAAAGTCCAAGGGACTCTCCGATTAACAAGCAAAATCCTGGAAGTATGGCTCAAGTAGTAGCACACACCAGGCCAGTGAAAAAGCCAAGCAAGAGTGTAAGACCTTGAATTCAAAATTCAGCATCAGCACACACACACAAAAAATAAATATTGTAACAGTAAATATACTGCTCAATGTTTTTCACAGTCAATTCCAAGTGTAGGTGGGGTAAAGGATATGTTCAAGACTGGTAAGTCAAAAACAAAGCTATGAAAAAAAGAACTGTCCATGGGGATACAATCCCCTAAGATTCCTGAATAGTACATAAATTAGCCTAGAGACCGCACCACTAGTTACCAAGGGACACCTTATGGTGGCTGTGGCTATGGTTTTCTCTTAGAAAATGGCCTACAAAGCCGGGCGCTGGTGGTTCACGCCTGTAATCCTAGCTACTCAGGAGGCTGAGATCTGAGGATCGCGGTTCAAAGCCAGCCCGGGCAGGAAAGACCGTGAGACTCCTATCTCCAATAAACCACTAGAAAACCGGAAGTGGCGCTGTAGCTCAAGTGGTAGAGCGCTCGCCTTGAGCTGAAGAGCTGAGGGACAGTGCCCAGGCCCAGAGTTCAAGCCCCACGACCGACAAAAAAAAAAAAAAAAAAAAAAGAAAATGGCCTACAAAAAGTGTTTTATATGCAAAATGGAAATAGGATATAATCTAATTACATTTTGATAGCAAATACAAAAAAAATTGTGAAGCCAGGAACCCACTATTCAGGAGGCTGAGATCTGAGGATCATGGTTAGAACCCAGCTCAAGCAGAAAAGGCCATGAAATATCTGCAATTAACTATCAAAAAGGTAGAAGTGAAACTGTGGCTCAAGTAGCAGAGCACCAGCCTTGCACCAAAAACAAAAACACTAAAGGAAAATGCCTAGGCCCTGAGTTCAAGTGCCGGTACCAGCTCAAGAAAGAGATTAAAGGGAGGAAAGAAGGGAGGAAAGGGAGGAAGGAAAGAAGGGAGGGGAGGGAGAGAGGAAAGGGAGAGAGAGGAAGGAATGAAGGAAGAAAAATTGTGAAAGTTCAGAGGAAAAAAAACATCAGAACACAACAGGTTTAGAAATTCTAAAATATAAAAATATTATTCTTTCTCTTCAGTGATTACATTGTAGAACTTTCCTTTTATTATTTGCTTTTTAAAAGCAACGAGAAAATTAAGCAGTAAATTCCAAATCTAACAGTAAACTTATGTGGATTGAAGTTCTTTTACAAATATATAGAAAAGCAGTTATGTCTCTGATTTTACCTTTTTACTGAACAGTATGGATGCCCATAAGAAAGCCCACACAAAGACACCACAAACTTAGAACTTTTGAGTCAAACCAAAGGGGCCATAATCAAAATATGAAGGCCTATCAAAGACAAGGACATCAAGATCAAGTTATTTATCTTTGTTAAGTAGTATTTTCTAAACAAAACGTTTCATTTTCAACTTATCAACTCTACCTTGCCACTTCATTTACCTATTATAAAATTACAAAATATGAAACAGAAATCTTAAAAAGGATGTTTACTAAAATTTTATAACAAGTCAGGCATAAGTGATACACACCTGTAATCCTAACATGTTGGGAGGGTAAGAGCTTAGGATCATGGGTAAAAGCCCATGAGACTTACAATTGACTGCCAAAAATTCAGAAGTGGAACTACAGCTCAAATGGTAAAGTACAAGCCATGAGCAAAAAAAAAAAAAGAGAGAGAGAGAGAGAGAGAGAAAATCAGAGACAGTGCCCAAGCCCTGAGTGCAAGGCCCAGGCTTGGCTCAATAAATAAATAGATGCTATGACAGTAAAAGGTAGAATGTTGGGGAAAGACGACCAGCAGAAGGAGAAAGGACAAGCTGGGTGCCCGTGACTCACGCCTGTAATCCTAGATACTCAGGAGGCTGAGATCTAAGGATTACGATTCAAAGCCAGCCAGGGCCAGAAAGTCCATGAGACTCTAATCTCCAATAAATCAGCAAAAAATTGGAGTAACACTGTGGCTCCAGTGGCAGAACACTAGCCTTGAGTTGAAGAGCTGAGAGTCAGAGCCCAGGCCCAGAGTTCAGGCCCCAGAACCGGACCCCCAAAAAAAAAAAATTTTTTTTCACGGACTTGCCTGCCTGGGCTGGCTTTGAACCACAATGCTCAGATCTCAGCCTCCTGAGTAGCTAGGATTACAGGTGTGAGCCACCGGCACCCAGCTTAAAACAGGTATTTTTAACTTTGAATATATCTTAATTTCCTTTATTTTGGTCAGTCATGGGCCTGAACTCAGCTCTTCAGTTCAAGGCTAGCATTCTACCATTTGAACCACAGCGCCACTTCCAGCTTTTTTTGCTTATGTGGTGCTTAAGTGGTGCTGAGGAACCAAGGGCCTCATGCATGCAAGGACTCTACCACTGAGCCACCTTCCCAGGCCTTAATTTCTTGATTATTAATAGCCTCCGTTTTTTTCCCCTTAACCATCTTAATACCTAATTAACCAAGTAATACCTAATAAGTTTAGTTACACAATGTTGTGATTTAAATATAGACTTTGGGCTACATATGCTTCTCGGTGGTAACACTGCCCAGCAAGTTCAAGACCCTAGGTTTAATCTTCAGCATTGAAAATAAAAGTTCTCCATTTTTTAATGTTGGGGAAAGAATAGTCACTTTTAAATTTAAAATAGTAACCTAATGCTGGAGGTTTTAGCTCACTGAAGGAGCACTTGCCTTGTATGAACTAGGATCTCATTGGATCTCCAAGACTGTTAAAAAAAAAAAAGAAGTAACAATGGTCTACACACGTCCCCTATAAAACTATAAGCCCACTCAGAAAGAATTTTTTAAAGTTACAAAAATAAAAAATTGGAGGCTGGGAATGTAGCTTAGTGGTAGAGTGCTTGCCTAGCATGACATGATGCCTTGGGTTTGATTCCTCAGTACCACATAAACAAAAAGCAAGAAGTAGCGCTGTGGCTCTAGTGACTGTAGGGTGCTAGTCTTAAACAAAAAAGCTAAGGGACACTGCCCAGGCCCTGAGTTCAAGCCCCAAAACTGCCTCCCTTCCCCTCCAAAGAAAATTCAACTAATGCCAACTACATTTTATACAGTATTTGTAAATCTGGTATGGCTCAGGATCATCTCCAAGGCTTGTTAGACTGTTCAACTCCACAGCTTACAGACTGACTAAGAAAGTCTTGGATAAACCCTAAGAAATGTTTCTTTAGGGGCTGGAAAAGTGGCTCAGTGGTAGAGCGCTTGCCTTGCAATGCTCGATTCCTCAGCACCACATACGCAAAAAAAAAAGAAAGAAAAAGCCGGAAGTGGCGCTTGTGGCTCAAGTGGTAGAGCGCTAGCCTTGAGCTGAAGAGCTGAGGGGCAGCGCCCAGGTCCAGAGTTCAGGCCCCACAACTGGACCCCCCCACCCCCAAAAAAAGAAATGTTTCTTAAAAAAAAAAAAAAAAGGGCTGGGAAGGTGGCTCAGTGGTAGAGCGCTTGCCTTACATGCATGAGGCCCTGGGTTCCACATAAGCAAAAAGAAAAAAACCAGAAGTGGTGCTGTGGCTCAAGTGGTAGAGTGCTAGCCTTGAGCTGAAGAGCTGAGGGACAGCGTCCAGGCCCAGAGTTCAAGCTCCACGACCGGACCCCCCCCCCCCAAAAAAAAAAACAGGGCTGGGAAGGTGGCTCAGTGGTAGAGTGCTTGCCTTGCATGCATGAGGCCCTGGGTTCAATTCCTCAGCACATCATAAACAGAAAAAAACAGAAGTGGTGCTATGGCTCAAGCAGAATGCTAGCTGAAGAGCTGAGGGACAGCGCCCAGGCCTGGTTCAAGCCCCACAACCAGCAAAAAAAAAAACAACAACACTGATAAATGCTCTACCTAATCTAGTACCACCCTCTGAAAACCCTTATTCTAACACATAATGCAGTAATTCTTTAGATTGCTTTCTCTATTAAACTTAATTGCTCTACCATGGGGTCAGAAATTCCTTATTTCCTTAAAATTTCATACATATAAATGGTATGGATGTGAGTCCTAAGGTTCAAACTAAGGTTCTAGGTGCTGTCCCTGAGCTTTTATGCTCAAGGCTAGCACTCTATCACTTTGGCTATAGCGCCAGCTCCAGGCTTTTGGTGGTTAATTGGAGCTAAGAGTCTTATTGGACTTTCATGATCTGGCTTGCTGTGAACTATGATCCTCAAGTATCAGCCTCCCCAGTACCTAGGATTACAAGCATGAGCCACCAGTACCCAGCTAAAATTTATGTATTTATGTATTTATTTATTTATTGCCAGTCATAGGGCTTGAACTCTGGGTCTGGGTGCTGTCCCTCAGCTTTTCAGCTCAAGGCTAGTGCTCCACCACTGAGCTGAGCACTCCACCACTTGAACTACAGCCCACTTCTGGCTTTTTTCTGCTTATGTGGTGCAGAGGAATCAAACCCAGGGCCTCACGCATGCAAGGCAAGCACTCTACCACTCAGCCACCTTCCTAGCCCCAAATTTTATTTTTATATGGAGAGTATATCTAAACCCAACACAAACTAAGTATGGTACCAATCCAATTCTGAAACCAAAACTGTATTTTAAGAAACTTAGGAAGGGGGTTGGAAAGGTGGCTCAGTGGTAGAGTGTTTGCCTAGCTTGCATAAAGCCCTTGGTCTGATTCCTCAGTATCACATAACAGAAAAAGGTGAAAGTGGCGCTGTGGCTCAAGAGGTAGAGAACTAGCCTTGAATAAAAGAAGCACAGGCACAGTGCCCAGGCCTTGAGTTCAAGACCAAGACTGGGAAAGAAAAAACAAAAAAAAATAGGAAGTTCAACAAAAGGGTTGACATTCATCAAGATGCATTGTACTGGGCTGGGAAGGTGGCTCAGTGGTAGAGCGCTTGCCTTGCATGCATGAGGCCCTGGGTTCCATTCCTCAGTACCACATAAGCAGAAAAATCCAGAAGTGGCACTGTAGCTCAAGTGGTAGAGTGCTAGCCTTGAGCTGAAGAGCTGAGGGACAGCGCCCAGGCCCAGAATTCAGGCCCCCCCCCGCCCCCCAAAAAAATATGCATTGTACTTACACCAGAATTTAAAAGGGCTGAAGGATAATTGCAGAGTACCTGATTAGTAAGCATAAGGCTGAGTTCAAACCTCAGTACCACACATACACATTAATAACTGGAAGCTGGTTGCTAAGAAACATTAAATCAGACATTGTCATTGTAGCCATTTCTAGGAATATAATTATAATTAGAAGAGGAATACCAAGCTTTGTTTCTCTTCATCCCAAATAAGCAAGCCTAAGCTACAGAAATTATTTTAAGTTCAAAACCAGTCAAACTATATAGTACTTAGAAGGCTATTAAATGATAGGTATATAGGAATATAATCATTGGACACCAATGAGATAGCTCCCAGAAAATCTTATGCATGTAAAAGTAACAGTTCAATTTTCAGCTAATTTTTGAAAAATTAAAATTGTCTCACCAAATCAGTTTGTGCCCATATCCACTAGGGACAGTAGAACAAATCGGAGTGGCTCTACTACTCATAAGCCTCTAGTACACTCAAAGGAACTGTCCAGATTTCATCTTCTCATATTTCATACAATATAGCCTAAGGCCTAAAGCATGATACAAGATAATCTTTATGGAAATCACTTAGTTGGGCCAGGAGCTGGTGGCTCACACCTGTAATCCTAGCTACTCAGGAGGCTGAGATCTGAGGATCGCAGTTCAAAGCCAGGTTCAAAGCCAGCCCGGGCAGGAAAGTCCATGAGACTCTTATCTCCAATAAACCACTAGAAAAGCAGAAGTGGCACTGTGGCTTAAGCGGTAGAGTGCTCGCCTTGAGCTGAAGAGCGCAGGGACAGTGTTTAGGCCCAGAGTTCAACCCCATGACTGACAAAAAAAGAAATCACTTAGTTGGGCCAGAGGCATGACTCAATGGTAGAGCACCTGCCTACCAAGTACAGGACACTGAATTCAAATCCCAGAATAGTGGGGAAAAAGTCCATATAATTTTACTGAACAGAAATATTGAATGTCCTCTAAAAACTTCCCATACAAACTTTCCCCCATTCTTTTGCTTCCTTCCCTGATTAAGAAAATTAAACCTACAATCAAAATTAAACCTACAGTACCTTTACTATCTAAAAGTAGTGATCAATTAGTTGTAAACACCACTGCCCTCGGACCAACCAAGAAAGAAAAAAGCCGGAAGTGGCGCTGTGGCTCAAGTGGTAGAGTGCTAGCCTTGAGCTGAAGAGCTGAGGGACAGCGCCCAGGCCCCGAGTTCAGGCCCCATGACCGGACCCAAAAAAAAAAAAAAACTATTTAAAATGGGGCTGGGAAGGTGGCTCAGTGGTAGAGCGCATGCCTTGCATGCCTGAGGCCCTGGGTTCAATTCCTCAGCACCACATAAGCAAAAAGAAAAAAGCCGGAAGTGGTGCTGTGGCTCATGTGGTAGAGTGCTAGCCTTGAGCTGAAGAGCTGAGGGACAGCGCCCAGGCCCAGAGTTCAGGCCCCATGACCGGACCCAAAAAAGAAAAATAAATAAAAAAATAAAAGTAAAAGATACATAGTGCTTCCTCAACACAAAGAGGCAGCTTGAAAATTTATTCTAAAGTTCAAACACAATTTTAAAGTTTTGTATTTCTTTCCTATTCCTCTTTAAATTAATCTCTATTTTTTCATTTTATGCACAATCCTGAAACTTCTAAATTGCATCTAAAAGCTAACAGGACTTACGTCTCATGAGTTCCAAAAAAGAAAATGGGTAGTTTGTTTGTAGGTGGTTTTACAGCTCCATCAGGAACTTCATCTACCTAAAAGAAACATTAAAAAAAAATTACCATCTTCAGTCATATACACTTCAACACATCTGAATAAGTTGATAACATATTCAAGAGAGCTGAAGATATAAAATTGGACATTTTACAGGTTCCAAATCTTATTCCCAACTCTGAAACCTAAGAAGTTCCATAAAACAAAGGTGTTTCTTTTTCAAACTCACTTTGTTGCAAAACCAAAGCTAATTCGGTCATTTCTTTTACGCAGTCATGTTTCTATGATTTCTCTGCAGAAAGTTATGTGCCATGCTAGCAGTAGCAAAACACATGGAATATGTACCACCATTAACTTCCTCAAATCCCCAAATTCTCAATTCTTAAACTTATCTTACTCCAAGTATTTCACATAAAGAATGTCAAAATCCACATGAAGAAATGCTCAACCTCTCTAGCCATAGAAGAAATGCAAATCAAAACAACATTGAAATACCACCTCACCCCATTTAGAATGGCTATAATCAAGAACTCTAATAACAACAGATGCTGGAGGGGATGTGGACAGAAGGGAGCCCTACTGCATAGTTGGTGGGAGTGTAAACTTGTTCAACCACGTTGGAAAGTACTATGGAGATTTCTCAAAAGACTCCACGAAGAGCTCCCCTATGACCCACTTTTAGGCATTTACTCAAATAATCACAAACAAGACCATACAAAAGCTACCAGCCCAACTATGTTTATTGCAGCGTTATTTACCATAGATAAGCTATGGAACCAACCCAGATGCCCCTCAGTAGATGAATGAATGGATCAAGAAAATGTGGCATATATAAAATGGAATTCTATGCCTCTATCATAAAGAATGACATTGTCCCATTTGTTAGGAAATGGAAAGACTTGGAAAAAATTATATTAGGGGCTGGGAAGGTGGCTCAGTGGTAGAGCGCTTGCCTTGCATGCATGAGGCCCTGGGTTCGATTCCTCAGCACCACATAAGCAAAAAGAAAAAAAAAAGCCGGAAGTGGCGCTGTGGCTCAAGTGGTAGAGTGCTAGCCTTGAGCTGAAGAGCTGAGGGACAGCGCCCAGGCCCATCCATAGTTCAGGCCCCACAACCGGACCCAAAAAAAACAACAACTTATATTAAGTGAAGTAAGCCAGGTGCAAAGAAACATAGGTCCCATTGGTTTCCCTTATTTGCTATAACTAGTATATATCAGAGACAAGCAGAAAAGGTCAAATAAGATGATGTTAAATGAAATGAACCCCCAGATAAGGAATCAAGTGGTTTTTTCTTTCTTGCTATTGTTTGTAACATATTTATAAGGTACCACATGATTTTTTTGTTTTTTGTATGTCCCTCTCCCACGGTATAACCCGTTTTCACTGTATTTGATGTTGGTATAATTTGGGAAGCAGAAGGGAAAAAATAGGGATACAGGCTGACCCATTGTAACAATGACATGTACAAGATGCTATGTCGAAAAACGAACTTTAAGGGCTGGGAAGGTGGCTCAGTGGTAGAGTGCTTGCTTTGCATGCATGAGGCCTGGGTTTGATTCCTCAGCACCACATAAGCAAAAAGAAAAGAAGCCAGAAGTGGCGCTGTGGCTCAAGTGGTAGAGTGCTAGCCTTGAACTGAAGAGTTGAGGGACAGCGCCCAGGCCCAGAGTTCAGGCCCCATGACCGGACCCAAAAAAAACAGAAAAACGAACTTTACAATTTGGGGTGGGGGAGGGAGTATAGTTGTAGAGGTGGGAAGGAAGGAGAAAACAAAGGAGGAGGCAACAATGCTTGATAAGAAATGTACTTATTACCTTGCTCATGTGATTGTAGCCCCTCTGTACAGTATCTTCTCAATAAAAAAACTTATTTAAAAAAAAGAATGTCAATCCACTTCACAATTCTAAATGACATTCTAGAAAGCATAAACAGAGTAATGTAAAAGCTGACATTAACAGAAGTTTAAAGCAACACTTCCCACTCTGAAATGTATAATGAAAACATCCTTCAATTGTATGGCTGAATCACATGGGGTTACCTGTTCCTTTATTAGTTTTCAATCTTTCAAGCCACCAAGCAATAGTATGTTCCAAGAGTTAAATAACATTTCTATTTGAAATTTTAAAAACATGGGGTTGGAGTTGTGGTTCAGGTGGTAGAGCACTAAGCCAATGAGCAAAAGTATCAGATTACCAGGGTCTGAGTCCCAATCACAGAGAGGAGGAGGACAAATACAAAACATTTTAATTAGAAAACAAGTTGACTGGGCTGGGAAGGTGGCTCAGTGGTAGAGCACTTGCCTTGTATGCATGAGGCCCTGGGTTCAATTCCTCAGCACCACATAAGCAAAAAGAAAAAAGCCGGAAGTGGTGCTGTGGCTCAAGTGGTAGAGTACTAGCCTTGAGCTGAAGGACAGCGCCCAGGCCCAGAGTTCAGGCCCCACAACCGGACCCCCCCCCCAAAAAAAGAAAACAAGTTGACTGCAAATACAAGAGTTGACCCTAGTATCTATCTGTGTAAGCATTACAGAATAGAAAATCTGGACTCATAATCTATAATAATGAGGGTTTCAGACAATAACAGAATCATCATCCAATAGTTCTAAGAACCTTAATTTCTCTACTTGTTCCCTCTATCCTTATACTATTATGTTGGTTCATACGCTTCTTTCTGCTAGTAAACAGCAACAGCTTTAAGAGTTTGTTCAAACGCTTAATACATGTTAGGCAATTATTTTAAGTTATTTTCAAAAGTACTGCTAGTAGGAAGAGGTGACAAGTTCAAAAACAGAAATGTACTCATTACTTATGAAATGGTAACCCCTGTACAAAACACTTTAATAATAAAAAAAATCTTATTTTTAAACTACCACTAGTGCCGGCGCCAGTGGCCTGTAATCCTAGCTACTCAGGAGGCTGAGCTCTGAGGATCGAGGTTCAGAGCCAGCCCAGGCAGGAAAGTCCGTGAGACTCTTATCTCAGATAAAACCACTAGAAAACCGGAAGTGGCGCTGCAGCTCAAGCGGTGCAGCGCTTGCCTTGAGCTCAAGAGCGCAGGGACAGCACCCAAGCCCAAAGTTCAAGCCCAGCTATGGACCAAAAAAAAAAAAGGAGGGGGAGGAGGAGAGGGAGGGGGGAGTGAGAAAGAAAGCTGAGTGCTGATGGCCTCACCACACCTGTAATCTTAGCTACTAAGAAGGCTGAGATCTGAGGACCACAGTTCAAAGCCAGCCAAGTCAGGAAAATCTACAAGACTACCTCCAGTTAAACAACAAAAAAGCCCTAAGTGGAGCTGTGGCTCAAGTAGTAAAGCACTAGCCTTGAGCAAAAGAAACAAACAAACCTCAAGGACAGTGCCCAGGTCCCATGTTCAAGCCTAAGAACCAGCACGAGTGTGCACACCCATGCACACACAGAAGGAAGGAAGGAAGGAAGGAAGGAAGGAAGGAAGGAAGGAAGGAAGGAAGGAAGGAAGGAAGGAAGGAAGGAAGGAAGGAAGGAAGGAAGGAAGGAAATGCTAGAGTCAAAATTAAAATGTCACCTTTATAGCTGAGATCTTAACCCTATATCAAAACTTTACAATCTGTATTAAAGACCGAAAAGAACTTGTATATTTGGACACAATACGTTAAAACCAAACTCAACTGATTCAAAAGGAAAAATAATGATACTGATTGGAATGTAAACATGTAGAAAATGTAACAATAAATTCTCACTCCTGTATAAGCAATGATTAGTTTTAAAGAAAAAGAAAAAAAAACCACAAAAATACTCGCCATTTCAATCCAAGCGAACTCAATTAACAGCTCATTAAATGGAGAAGGAAAATACTCTTCCTAAGGCCACATAATTTTACTCAGTTGTCTTATCCACCTAACATACTGAAGGGAGTGGAAAGGATGAGTTGGAACAGAAAATTTTGAAAGCATTTCCATCTGGCATGGAAATCTAAATACAGATGTTATTAGATAAACAGATTTTATGATAGCTCAAAATAAGGATAACTTTAAAGAAAACCATACAAAATTATATTAGAGGGAACCTCCAGCCTTTAAAGCTGGTTTAGGGCTACTACTCTCAAGAAGCTTGCAATATGTTTCAAAGCATATACAAAAGAGATTTTCCTAAAGGGAACTGCTAGCTTAAAATACCAAAAGATTATTATATTAACGATTATTCAAGTAAGATTTTACTGAAAAGGTAGACTAGGGGAAAAATGGAAACAAACTGAAATTGATAAAGAGCTGGAAGGAGAAGGGATCAAGGCACATTGGAAAAGTCCATCAAGCCACATACTGCAGATTTGGGCACACTACTGTACAAACTGTTTTCATGAAAATATATAAATATGAAACAAAATCAAGGAACAAAGTGATCTTTTTTTGGGGGGTGGGGGTCCGGTCGTGGGGCCTGAACTCGGGGCCTGGGCGCTGTCCCCCAGCATTTCAGCTCAAGGCTTGCGCTCTACCACTTCTGGCTTTTTTCTTTCTGCTTATGTGGTGCTGAGGAATTGAACCCAGGGCCTCATGCATGCAAGGCAAGCGCTCTACCACTGAGCCACCTTCCCAGCCCCCAAAGTGCTCTTTTAATACTTGGGAAACACTTAGCTTCTCACTCCATGATTCTCTATCCCCCACCTCCTCTTCCTAGGTACCATAACTAGAACTGTGATTTATTTTTAAGAACTGTCTTTTTAAAGAAAATTAAGTATCAAATAGTTTGAAAATAAAACAACTTTGGAACATCACAGTTATATTTTTAAAAAGGGTTTTGACTGTACCTAATTAATAGATCTCAATATTCCTGGGTTCTGAAGACCTGAATCCCACCATAAATTGATTTAAAAAAAAAAAAGACCTTTCCCTGAACTAAATACAGAAAGTCTCATGAACTGCAATTTTGTAATCCTTTTGTAAGCAAAAAGTGTAAAACAACTTAATCATAGCTGATGCTCAAGAATTGATCACCTGCATTAGATTCTGTGGGTATTTTGTATCTTACTCAAAAAATTAAAGAAATGGTGATGTTTCACTAAATTTTAAACATACAAACTGCTCCTTGGGTCCTTTCACCTACAATGGAACCATGAACTGGAATGTCATCTAAATGTTTCCTACCAGGAGTTCCTGTCACAGACTCAAACAAGCCACAGGGAATTGCACAGGTATGTAGTTAAGATCTACAATGTATTTATTTATTTTACAATCACATGGGAGATTACTGGGGAAAAGAAAAACATTAAAAAAAAAAAAAAACCCACAGGTTCCCAATGGCGCTAACAAGGAAAAGCAAGGGAGAAAAAAATGGACATCGGAAAGGAAGGGGGGGGCTAGGTGAGGAAAGCAGGCCCGGGGAAGGCGGGCGAGCAGGGCGAAGGCTACCAATCACTTACTCGAGCTGGCCAGTGAGGATAACCTTTCATCTTGGCGAAGATGAGGTCTCCGGGTTTGAAATCGCGAGTCATGTTTCTGGTGTGAAGCCGGGGGGTCCTAAGGCCCGGAGCTGGGCGGGCGGGCGGGCGGCCGGGCGGCGAAGGGATGCGGGAGCGCGGCCCGAGCCCCGGGTCCTGCGTGGGCGGGCGGGCGGAAGGTGCCTCGGGCTGTCCCGACGCCTGCGAGGGGCACCGGGGAGGGCGGTTAAAAATCCAGCAAAGCCGGAGGGAGGGGCCGCACGCGGAGGGGGAGGGGCAGGGCCGGCGAGGGTGGGGGCGGCAAGGGGAGGGGGAGGGGGAGAAGGAGGGAGGAGGGCCGCTCCGCCGCGGGAACGCGGCCTCCGCAGCCCTGGAGGAGCTCTCCAGGCCGGGAGGTGGGGGGGGGCGTCCACTCGGACGGCGGCGCCACCAGCACCTGAAGCCGGGGATGCTGCTCGGCCGCACAGAGCCCTTCCTCCCGCCCCATCGTTCTCAGGGCTTTCTCCACGGGGCTGAAGACCCCGGGAGGAGGGGGCGTAGCGCCCAGAAAACAAGATGCCGACCTCCCCCCTCCCGCCCTCCGGAGCCCGCTCCCCACATCCGGGGCCTCCCCTGCGCCCCCCGGGTGGGCCGCGCGTCCACTTCCCCGCTACCGCCTGCAAAGAGGCCGCCGAGGGGGGGGCGGGGCGGGACGCTGCCGCTCGCTCACCTGCTGCGGCCGCGAGCGCGGAGGCTGCGGGGCCGGCTGGCCGCTCGCTGGCCGCGTCCACGCAAGCCACCTGCGCCACCAGCTGCCGCAGAGGCGTCTCAACGGCTCCGAAACGCTGCCGCCGCCGCCGCTGCCGCCACCGCCGTCGCTGCGCCGCTCCCGCGCGGCTCCCGCTCGGCGCCCGCTAGCGGTGGGGCTGTACCAACTGCGCGCCCAGGCAGGGGGGGCGCACGCAGCGCCTCCGGGGCTTTGTCGCTTAAGAGCGGAGCTTTTGAGGATGCTAGACCCAACAGTCTCTGCTTGGGACAACAATTGCTTTTCGTTGGGGAGAAAGATCGACACCAAGGAAGACAAGGGAGCAGACATTATCTGGGCTGGCTGAAGGTTCCCCCTGCGGCTGGCGGAGTGGTCGGGCCCGGCCCGCCCCTGCTGGCTGCGCTGCGTGTGTGTATTTGTATGTGTACTGTATGTAAAAGGCGGGGAAGGGAGGAAACAATTGTTGTGCACCAGGCTTGGGGGTCGGTTACCGGGGCCTGTGGCCCTGGGCTGCGTGTTAGGGAGAGACTGGCTGCCTAAACTGCACGTTCTTCCACGGTTTCCCAGGGCGGGGAAGATTGCAGCTCTTGGGCATTTACATCATCCCTACATCCCCCTCCCCCCGGAGCTGTGCGAAGCCCATAGATAAAACTGAAGCTTGAAGCTGTTGCAGGGTGTGCAGCTGGTAGGCCTCTCACACCTCGCTTGAATGGGCCTTGCAGTCTCCTTGGCCTGAGAATGTAATATGAGCAAACCTCCTTTCATTTCTTTTGCAGTTCAAGCAAGAACTGTTGAGGAAAACGTACTCCTAACGAATGCATACTATGAAAGGTACAAAACAATGACAGGAAAACTAAGACTGTTAGAAAGGATGTGGGTTTGGGCCCCCAACAAAATTGTGACTGCATGTAAATTTTATTTCCCTGTAAGAGTGACATGCTGCACCGCAGAGAAGTGTTACTAAACCTGAAAGGTCTGAGCTTTTAATAATACTCTTTTAAGAGTATCTTAAAAAAGAGCATTTTATTTTTGATCGTTTAGTCAATGCATGTTTTTAATATTGGTAATAATATATCCAGCAGTTTTATTTGAATTGACTCTAAGTGTTTTTTTTACTGTTGTCACCATAATTTTACAACTTTTACTTGTCTCAACATTCACCTAGATTCCCAGTAAATATGTGATAAGAACATTAATAAAAATAATTGAATAGTAATAAAAATTAACCTTAAGTTTGTTTCATCCTTCAAACTCCCTGGAAGTGCTTACTGCATGTCAAGCACTGCCTTGCATTGCTGTTACAGCCACAAACAAGAACAGATACTTGTTAGTTAAAACAGGTTGAGAAATAAAAATATTAAAGCATGTAAGTATCAATGCCTAGCTAATGCTGCTTTCAATAAAGGAGTCACAATTGGAAATAAGTCAGGAAAAGCAAAATCTTTGAGTGGACAAAAATTGGGTTGCTTTTTTTTTTTTTCTTTAAGGAATACAGAATGTCTTTTAAAAGAAAATAAGACTTTCCGGATGTAAATTGTTCATTGGAAAAGGGACAGAAAGATGCATTAAAGTCCACCATTTATACTAGTAGAGACCGAGGCCTTATCCAGCAATCTATTTGTGTGTATGCATCTCCTTTGTTCTCAACAGTGGATGGTCCTGTGGTCATAGCCCACAACATTAGCTTTTCACCTGAGCATTTGTTAAAAGTCCAGGCTTACTAAATCATAATCTTCATGTTAACAAATTCCCAGATGGCTCTTATGAATATTCAAGCTTGAGAAACAAGTTGCAGAGGATATTAAAACAGATTGTAAGAACTTACAATCACTTGGATGGGAGCTCCTACACAGCAATGGGAAGGCTGAGGCAGGAGGATAGTTTTGAAGGCCAGCCTGGAATACATAATGAGACTGTGTCTCAAAAATAAACAAAACAATCACATATAGACAGATAAGTTGATAAATTTTATAATCAATATTAAAAGAATATATAAGAACATAAATAAAACTTTTTGTTGCTAAATGGCAATACCAACAAGTGAAGAGGGAGTGGTTATTATGATGGAGGAGGAGATCCTCAGGAAATTAAAAAAAGTAAAAGCATTGATGTGTAAGTATTGAACAAAGCATGATATTTAGCATTTCCTGCCAATAAATTTTAGCAGTTTCAATTTGTAATATTCTGCAGACAGCAGGTGATAACTTTTAAACAATGAACCAGGGCAAAAACAGGTCAGAGTTTAAGCCTCCAAAGAACAAAAGCCAGGATCCCTGGGGGCAGCAGTTCTGAATCTGATGGGGGAAGGGGGGAGGGGGAGAAGGAAGGGAATGGGTTTGGGGGAAGGTTGGGTGTATCACAGCCTCTTCCAGAGTTTTTCTTAACTAAGAGCTGTGCTCCTCCCCCATAGGAGAAAGCAGATTTTCCAAACCAGCTGGAGAGAATGGCAAACCTTAGTGTGGTTGCGCTGGATCCTAGCCTACTTTTTCCCCTGTAATCTGGATGTTATTCGTCCCATTATACAGATGAGAAAACAGATCCATTAAAAATTGAGCAACTTGTCCAAGATCTTACGTGGAATCTAGAGGCCCAGGCAACCTTCCAGCCCTTCTGTCCTCCCAGCCATTCCTTTTGGTGATGCTACACAGCTTCTAGGTAGGGCAGAGAGGCTACATGGCTGCAGGCACAATGAGCTTGCAATCAGTAAAGGATGCTGCAAATTTCCTAATAATTTCCCTGTATACCTCTGCACTGCCTAGCTTGTTTTCCACCACCAGATCATTCTGTTTAACTCTTTCTGAAATGACTCAGGCCAAAAATCACATCTGGATTGGGGGCTGGGAAGGTGGCTCAGTGGTAGAGTGCTTGTCTTGCATGCATGAGGCCCTGGGTTCGATTCCTCAGCACCACATAAGCAAAAAGAAAAAAAGCCGGAAGTGGCGCTGTGGCTCAAGTGGTAGAGCACTAGCCTTGAGCTGAAGAGCTGAGGGACAGCGCCCAGGCCCAGAGTTCAGGCCCCACGAATGGACCAAAAAAAAAAAAAAAAATCACATCTGGAAAGGCTCTGCTTCATCTTCCAGTGGTGCCTATTTACAACCTTTCTTGGTAGTTGTAAACTACTTAGAAGTAGACCTCATCTTATGCATTGTGTATACTTGGCAGATAATCAATTTTTCTAACAAATATTTAAATGGATGAGAAGAAGCAGGTGATAAAACCTGATGGAAAGATAAGGCATAGAGGGTCAGAGTGCTTGTCTATAATCCCAGCTATCATAGAGGTGAAGGTAGAAGGATCAGGAATTGGAAGCTAGCCTAGGCAACTCAGTGAGACCCTGTATTAAAGAATATAGAGGGTTGCCCAGACTCACCCCTGTAAATCCTAGCTACTCAAGAGGCTGAGATCTGAGGATCGTGGTCCAAAGTCAGCCCAGGCTGGTAAGTCCGTGAAACTCTTACCTCAAATAAACCACCAGAAAACTGGAAGTGGCACTGTAGCTCAAATGGTAGAGCTCTAGCATTGAGCTGAAGACTGAGGGACAGTGCCCAGGCCCAGAGTTCAAGCCCCATGACCGACCAAAAAAAAAAAAGAATATAGAGGGTTAAGAATATAGCTCAGTGCCGGGCGCTGGTAGCTCACGCCTGTAATCCTAGCTACTCAGGAGGCTGAGATCTGAGGATCGCGGTTCAAAGCCAGCCCGGGCAGGAGAGACCGTGAGACTCCTATCTCCAATAAACCACCAGAAAACCGGAAGTGGCGCTGTAGTTCAAGTGGTAGAGCGCTCGCCTTGAGTTGAAGAGCTGAGGGACAACGCCCAGGCCCAGAGTTCAAGCCCCACGACCGACAAAAAAAAAAGAATATAGCTCAGTGATAGAGCTCTGGGTTCAATTCTCAGGAACAAAGACACATGCATGAGGATATTTTATCTTTACATTATGAATTTTTCATGTACTAAGAGGTTAACCCTTTAAAAGCACTGATTTTTTTTAGGACAAATACATTCATTTTAATGGAAATCTTTTGCATTGTATTGGCTTAAGTGGTAGAACACTGACCTAGTACATGCACTGAGTTCAAACCCCAGTCCTGTATTCCCCAAAAATTAATAATGACAATCCCTTCCTTTATATTTTAATATAATTATTCATCTTAATATACAATAGTACTAGCATACCTTACACTTTGTGGTTTTATAATTGTATAATTATATATTCTCTATATATAAGATATAATTATATATATATATTTTATAATACTTATAGACATTTCATGTGATGTTTTAAATCTGATGTAAACATCATGAGAATTAGCAAAAATATAGGGAAATAGGGGCTGGGAAGGTGGCTTAGTGGTAAAGCGCTTGCCTTGCATGCCTGAGGCCCTGGGTTTGATTCCTCAGCACCACATAAGCAAAAAGAAAAAAGCCAGAAGTGGCGTTGTGGCTCAAGTGGTAGAGCGCTAGCCTTGAGCTGAAGAGCTGAGGGACAGCGCCCAGGCCCAGAGTTCAGGCCCACGACCGGACCCCCCAAAAATATATATATATATAGAGAGAGAGAGAAATATAACGAAAATAAAGAACATTAGTGAACAAATGCAACAGTGGTATTCACTATGTTGAAAAGTGAACTATATAATCTGTGGGTGAGGACAGGATGGAAAAACAGAGAGAGGGAAGAGGTGACATTGTCCAAAAGAAATATACTCTTGGGGGGCTGCGAAGATGGCTCAGTGGTAGAGTGCTTGCCTCGCATGCATGAGGCCCTGGGTTCAATTCCTGAGCACCACATAAGCAGAAAAAATTGGAAGTGGCACTGTGGCTTAAGTGGTAGAGTGCTAGACTTGAGCTGAAGAGCTAAGGGACAGCACCCAACCCCAGAGTTCAAGCCCCACAATGGACAAAAAAAAAAAAGTACTCTTTTCCTAACTTAATGTAGCTAATTCCTCTGTACATCACCTTTATAATAATAATTATAATAATAAACTTTTATAAGAATAGTAATCAAAGATCCAGTTCAGTCAGAGGCATGATAAAATCAGTGTAAGTTTTCCACCATGAATATCAAAAAGCAATCAGAAGCTGGGTGCCTATAATGCTAGCTTCTCAGCAGACTGAGTGTTAGGAATCTCCA